GCCTTGTATGAAAAAAATAAAAGGGTGCAATAAATCTTGAAGGAAACGCAATGCACTGAAACCCTTTTAAGGTTTTTACTAGGGGTGTCATTTATCGTTTACTTTATAATAAATATAAATTATGAGAAATTTATATTTATTATAAATGTAAATTACTTATCATTTAATTTACGCGTAAATTAAATAAAAGTAAATTTAAATCGACACCCCAAGTAAAAGTACTCAACAATGTTATTCAAACATTTAGAATGCTATCGCCATTGATTTTTGGTTGTGATATGGGGTGTCGATTTAAATTTACTTTTATTTAATTTACGCGTAAATTAAATGATAAGTAATTTATATTTATTATAAATGTAAATTATTTTGTTGCAAAATTTACATTTACGAATAAATGTAAATTATCATAATTTACATTTATTTGTAAATATAAATTATATAATTTACATTTATTCGTAAATATAAATTATATAATTTACATTTATTCGTAAATGTAAATTATGATAATTTACATTTATTTGTAAATATAAATTATACAATTTACATTTATTCGTAAATGTAAATTTTGCAACAAAATAATTTACATTTATAATAAATATAAATTACTTATCATTTAATTTACGCGTAAATTAAATGAAACATAAATGTAAATTGACACCCCTAGTTTTTACTAAGGCATTGTGTAGAATCTATGGCCAAAAATCCATTGAAATCCGCCAGAGACACCTCGGGAGGTACCCTCGTAAGTAGTGAAATTGAAGTCCTGATTGATTTGTGTAGTGATGCGGAGATGGATATGACTCATCTAAGATAAGAAAACTCCATAATGACTCATACTGGTCGACCGGCTGGATCAGTTCGGTCTGACCAGTTTGAACCGGTATCAGTTTCGGTTTGGAAAAAAATCCAACGGATTGCAACACTGCTGCTGAGGACATCTAAAGAATCTTACGGAGCATCTAATAACATCCACAACTTTTTTCTTCAACACTGCAAACATAAGAGAACTAATGTGTGATCAAACCTTGAATAGTTCATGTTCAAAACTCGATTATAGGAACCTGTTATGACCTGATACAAGCTTCTTGATGTTGTGACTTAATACTTGTGTAGAAAGTGGCTGCTTCAGATTTAATAACCTTAAATTTCTCTCTTCGAGCCACAAAACGTCATGTGCACCGGCTTCAGTATAAATGATATTGAGGTCCTTTCATATTTACTCATAAAGTGTAAAAATATTTCTGAGAATCTCTTTCGATCTTAAAGCTTTTCTTCGAGTAGTATGGTGAGAATTTTCAGTTCTATAAGTATTAAACCAAAGTTTTCATTCTTAAATGTTCGAGCAGCACTGGACCAAGTTAGTAATACTTCTATCTCAATGCAAATTCGTTGGCTACTTTTTTTATGGAAGTGATATTTTAAGAGTATATATTGAATATAATTTCCTTCTTACAGAAATGAGCGAAGCGAACAAGTTTTCACATTCACAACAAATGCAAGACCTCTGAGCTGGCTCATCTTCAATATTTTCACCTTACATTGGGTCGAACAGGTATCCATTTAGTTGACAGAAATTTCAAGTGCATCTCGCTATTTTTTATGCTGCATGCACCACATGAATCAGTGTTCATGGCATACCTATGTTGAAGACAATGTAAATTTACCGCAAGAATTTGCTACCAACGTTTTTCATCATAAAATTACTAAAAAGTAACTGGTTTGTATTGGGTTCTCTGGAAAATCAACCATAGGCATTTCGAAAACGGAATTTTGGCAATACTGGCGAATTTCAAAAACTGCCTAGGCTTTTGCAAGTATGACAATAGAAAATTCCATGTGATATTTCATTTTTTTACACTGGACAATATGAAACTGCATGAAATCTTTTATTGTGGTACTCTTGAAAAGTCTAGGCAGTTTTTGAAAATTACGATTATTATCGAAATCGCCTTTTCGAAATTCCTATTGCTGATTTTCCATTTTACCTTTGCATCGTATTTTAAACCTCAAAAAATAAACTCTTTTGCCGTATCATGATCAACGAAAAGGAGTATTACTCTGTTTCAGTTATTCTATGCAAATTTCACGTTTGAAAGCAACGTAACAAATATAATCGATGCCTTTAAGTATTTTTTACAAGTGTGGGTCGAATACAACATAAAAAAGAGCAAACGATAAGAACGCTTACCTAGCGCGTTTATGGCGACGACTGATTTTCTCTATCATTGGACTCTATCATTAACGCTGACTTGCTTCCTTTCTTCCAACTCTTAGTCACTCGGAAAACAAAACGACATGACGAGTGCGTCATGTTTGCCTTTTCAATGAGGATCAACATATAGCACTCATACACTAATGTAAATGCGTATGGTTCGTGTGACACTCTGATTGTAAAGAGAAAAAAAATCAGTGTAATCAGTAGAGAAAATGTCATCCAATCAAGAGAGCAAACCTTGCTTTCAGATGTAGATATCGATTTGGATTGGGGTCTGCGGGTGCTTTGTTGGATTTCTTGACTACCATCCACACTCTCACCCAATTCAAACCGATGCTTACACCTGAAAGTGAAGTTTGGGTATAGGTATGCGGGTGTGGATGTGAGCGTGGGGTATGGGTGTGCGGTGCGGGTGTGGGTGTGGGTGTGGGTGTGGGTGTGGGTGTGGGTGTGGGTGTGGGTGTGGGTGTGGGTGTGGATGTGGGTGTGGGTGTGGATGTGGGTGTGGGTGTGGGTTCTCTCTTCATCCATACGCACACCCACACCTATCCCACACCCACCCACACCCACACCTACACATCCACACACCCACGCCTACACCTACACACCCACACCCACACCTACACATCCACACACCCACGCCCACACCTACACACCCACACCCACGTATTTTGGTCTTCTCATATTGTCGAATTATTCAGCGAGCAATGAAATTCCTTCTATTTTGAAACGAATACTAATGTAGTGCTCAGCATTCGCTTGATAGTGAATTGATTTCTGATAGTCACAGTGAAGTCGGATCATCATGACATCTACTGATCATGGCGGATACATGCTTTGCTTTTTTACTAATCAGAAATGGCAGAACGCAAGACAATCATCTCATGAAAGAGTGACAGTGATGTTGTCATCATTCCTTGTTTATTTTTTCGTCTTTTGGAAGCAATAGATTAATATCAAGAAAAAGAGTAGATAGAAAAGGTAAGATTGTGATTCATGTGGTCAGTTTAACAGATGAAATGATCAATAATTGAATTATCAGTGTAAAATAACAAAATGATCACTTTATTACATATAGTGAGCAGCAAAAGAAGTACCTCGTATATCAATGAAATATTCAAATTTGCTCAATGAGAAGTATTAATTTTACCGGCAGAATTTTTTAAAAATGTGTATAGAGTGTAACCTAATATGAGGAAAACGATGTAAATAAATAAAAAAAGAACATAGAATAAGTAAGAAGAAATAAAAAACAGCATGAAATAGAAATTTAAAGAATGAAAGAAGAAAAATAACAAGAAAAGTAAATTATTATACTAGGAAAGCAGTTTTAGCCTTTGCTGATGTACCTCTTTCTCCTTTGTCACCGAGTCGAATGTCTTTGTTACTGTTAGTTCATTTAGGATATTTCAGACGAATAGTTATACCAACAACGTGTTTGCATATGTAGTTCGTAAGAAGGTGCGATTGTGAGCATTCTCGTCACCATACCTTTAATTGACTGTTACTGAATTTGATTTGCTAATCTTTTAACTTTTTGACAAATCTAATTTATCATTGAATGATCATTTCAGTAATTTACTAATCATGTCATCTACTTAGGGGTACCCAAAAGTAGTGGCGGTCGCATCTCAATTTCGTACAGAAGGCTTGATGGAATTTTCTGTTTTTATGAGGTGATAGAGAAAACGAAGCTCTATTTTTCTGTGCTATTTCATCCCTCTTCAGCTGGTATCATAATAATGAAATTTCGATAAAAACTGTTTTTGTGTAAAACTTCACTAACGGGTGAAACAGATTAAATGTTTCCATTACTTAATACGTTGTATTAAGAAAGAAAATACATCACAAGATGCAGCGTGAAAAGCTCTACAATCTACAAAGTAAAGCTTATTTTAATTGTGTACTTTTTGTCAAAAAGAAACAAAATTCTATGCGACCAGTTTTCGCTGCTCCGAAACAATCATGTCAAGAGAAATTCTTTTTTTCTTATATCATATATAAAATAAATTGTTCTTTACAAATTGTAGAGCTTTTCATGCCGTATCTTGTGATGTATTTTGTCTCTTAATACAACGTATTAAGTGATTGAAAACTGAAATGGAAAGCGTATTAATCTGCCTCATGCGTTAGTGAAGTTTTACACAAAAAACAGTTCTTATCGAAATTTCATTATTATGATACCAGCTGAATAGGGATGAAATAGCACAGAAAAATAGAGCTTCATTTTCTCTATCGTCTCATAAAAACAGAAAATTTCATCAAGCCTTCTATACGAAATTGAGATGCGATTGCCACTACTTTTGGGTATCCCTAAGTATTTTCCTAATCAAATATTTTGTTCTCAAAACGTAAACTGTAGATGTCATGCTGATTGCAGAGACACGCACCTTATTACCACATGATATTCTCCATTTTTAACAAGAATCAAGAGTAGAGAAAAAAAACATGATTTTTGAAGATTGAAGAACAAAGCAATGATAGAATGTGAATGATAGAAGACCCAGATGAGTACATCTTGTTCGTTAACAGATCAAGCTTAACGTAAATAGTGATTTGTTCGTTTATGTTTCACGTTCCTTGTATATATTTTATCGATCTATTAATTGTCTTTTTAGAATGTTATCTATAAGTTAACTTAGATTTCATTTCCTCGTGTATGCGGCTCTTCTGCGTCGTATGAAGTGTCTCCTTTTGTGAGTCTTATTTTACGAAATCAGAAAAGAAAAAACTCCTCGTATCTTAATATTTTATCGGTTCTATCATCTTTTTTTGTGCCCTTTTTATGGCGCATCTTCTTGTTGAAAATCCATCGCTATCTTCGTCAAAAAATAAGCACATCATTAGCACTGCTTCCAGTCGTTGGACCTTCGATCCTAGTACTTTAGCTGATCCAAAAGTGATTGCACTCGCACGCTTTGAACAATCGGATTATGCAGTCCATCTCCATCCTGAAGATAAGCGTGGCTATCGTTCTGTTGTTCGATTGATCAACAAGGATCGAACGGTCCCAACAATCAATCGAGATTATAGTTCAACAGAAAGAATTGGCCTTGCGTTAACCATGGCTTTAGTCACAGAAGCTTATAGTCGTATTGTACCAATCGCTCAAAATGCAGTTACAGGTAATAATGCTCACTTGTTTCACCCAAAAACGGGAATCATCCAACTGGGTATTTCCCAAGAACTAATTTTTCTCCATGGTCATGTGTTTGGATGTGGCGATCCAGAAGGAAAATATATTGAGGACGTTCCATTGGATGGTCTCGTTCTTGGAGCGATTTTCGATATGGACGCTCCGTCTTCGCATGAATCAGACGACGATAAACAAGTGTCCTGGAAATCAGACGAAATGAATAAAGTGGTTCGTCGATTAGAAACTGAAATTGAAAACATTCATGATGCTTACAAAGTTCACGGACTGTCCGTCATTACCCGAAATGTTTTCGTCGATATCTACATAGTAAGACATGGTGAAACTGATTGGAATGCTCAAAAAAGACTTCAAGGGCGCACAGATATTCCTTTAAATGCGCAAGGCAAACTACAGGCTTGTCAACTTAAAGAAAAGTTTGCTGGTATTCATTTTTCAAAAGTATTCACATCCGATTTGATACGGGCGCGTTCAACCGCTGAACTAATTCTTGGTTCGAATACATCAACTATTATTGAAACGTCATTGCTCCGAGAAAGATGCTGGGGAATATGGGAAGGACGTTTGGCTACTGAATTAAAATCATATTTAGAACAAACTACCAATCTTGATAAATTCACGCAAGAAGAATATTTGTCATTTAAATGGGATGGTACTGCTGAAAGCTATTCTGATGCTTATCAACGAATAGAAACTTTTATCCGTTCCATTGCAATTTCTCCGTCTCTGAGTGATGATCCCATTTTACTTTCTAGTCATGGCGGTATCTTACGAGCCATACTATATCACTTAGATTTTCATCCTGGACTTTGCTGGGAGGTGACTAATTGTGCTTTTCTGAAGCTGAGAGTACAGACAAATGGACAGATGGCCATCATGGCTTCCGAGGGCACCAAATTGGTCGAGACAAACGAGACCATCATCATATTTTGAGATTTACTACCCAAACAGCGCAACATCTTAATTCTTCAAAGACTCTTTGTCTCCTGCTTTTTCCCATTGTATCTTATGCTAGTCCGACTGAGGGCGAGTTGTTTTTTACAAATTAATTTTTTGTATTTTTTTCAATTGTATTTAGAACCGGTTTAATGTTGAAAATGCTGTAACATCGGTGCTCTATGTTCATTATAAAATTGCAAGAATACGGGTGTGGATGTGGGTCTGCGTCTGGGTGGAGGTGTGGGTGTGGGTGTGAATGGATGTTCTTCTCATGCACACCCCCACCCTTACCCCCACTCCCACACCCACACATCCTTTTACACAGAGAACTGGAAAAATAATACAATGTGGCGATGAATACGATGAGAAAGCAAATTCATTTAAAAATAACATTTCACACATACACATAAATTTTTTTGTTGCTAGCATTTTATAATAAGTTTTCAAATATATTTGGCTTCAATACATATCGAAACCTCCTACAAGTGTTCTTTCTGTCTGTAGTGTTGTGATTTTCAGGGGAAAAAGCAAGAGAGAACAACATAAGCACATGCGTCGGAGGAGAAAAGAATTACTTAATCAAAGAAGCAAAGAGAAAACATTGAATAAATTACCAATATTGTTACTAATCGTTCGTATACGAGATAAAAGGTATACATGCGAACATAATACGAGATTGAAACATATTTTTGTCATCAGTTACGATTAAACCATAATGAGTAGGGTGTAGATCTATATGTGAGCAGTGGTATTCTACTCAAAATACACACTCATGTTCGATACATACAGTTATCGACGTGGATCAGGATGTGAGTGCGGATGTGATTGTTGCTCTCTTCTTACACCCACATCCTCTACATGGTTTACAGTTGATTTAAGATTAACCGAAAATTGAATCTATGCAAGAATTAAGAAATCGTTCAGTTAAATAAGTTAAATAGACAAATTATTGAAAAATGGTGGTGTTAGATTCGATATAACAACATCAACTAGACGAAAAACTATACATTCAAAATTTAGCAAATATAATTATCACATACGGAAATGTAACTATTAGAGTTGATGATGAAAATGTATCGAGTGCTACATTTGATGTTAAAGGTAAGTTTTATTTTAAAATTTATTATCAGAGATGTGCTCATCTAGGCTCTAGAAGTGATAGAGTAGAACTCTATGCTGAATATTCTGAAAGCAAAAGTCAACAATGACTACATTCTTATTGGACTAATCTGAAGATGATATCTTAAGAAATATATAGAATATGTTAAATGTTCAATATAAGTGAACAAAGAAAAGTATACTTTGTTTGCGAATTGAGAATATCATGAGTATGAGTCCAATTCAAAAATCTCCGGCACGACAAGCTGTAGTCAGTGTACAATGTTTCTGAAGGTATTCGACTAATAAAAGTACACTCTTTAAAACAATTTTCGTAGTTCTGAAACTGAAAGAATTACTTCCAGCTATTTTATTTTATTTTGTAACTCTCAAAATCTTAAATAATATTTTCTAGAAAATCTGCGATTGATTTGATGTTGATAGTCAGGTAGAAAATCCTTTTTCTTCATTTTAAAGAGAATACATATTCATCCGTAGAACTTTTTGATATTAACATCAAGTGACCTTCTAGATAAACGAACAAAGCAAACTAATTTTCCTTTCAGGTTTTTCAGTTAAATTCATAAAAAATTTAACAGATGTAAGAATTAATTAAGCAGATACAGTCATACTTTGCATGTGAATTAAATAAACCAGATATATATCTTAAATTGTCCCTTAATGGAGAACCAATTTCAAATGGTATTGTTTTCATATTTCTCGTATCTTTAATAAAAAAAATTACTTTCAGATGATTACTAGAATATTCAAGCTAAAGGATCTTTATTTACTTGAACTCTACATATAACGTTGCTTGAAATGAAGATAGAAAATATAACTGTATAACAGCTGATGATAACGATAAAACCAGTGCAATATGAATGTTAAAGATAAGTTCGCATATGCGTATCTACTTTTCCTTCTAACATGTTTAGCCATGCCTACTACATTTACAAAACCACTAGAGAAATGTGTCTATAATTTTGGTTTTATTTTTCTTACGAAAAAAAACTATCACAGCTTGATTTTTTTTAAAGTTATTTAAAAAGAAAAAGCTAACAGTCATACTTCGAGGTATTTCCAAAACAGTCAAAAATACGAGAGAACGGAAGACAGTTCTGCTCAAAAACAAGGTATCTCGTACCTCTGATATAAATTTTCAATATCGATTAGAACATTTTATTGAGAATATCAAAATATAGTTCAGTCGAGTCTGATCCTTAAATGAATCGTAATCAATCATAAGAATTATCATATCAATTATTAGAATCTAATGTTCATGCTATTTGCTTCAAAGATAGAATACCAATGGGTGATAAATCTCAAATAAAAAATGCAGGTTTAAGATACAATCTTTATATTCCATATGGAATTCAACCCGAAAGGTTATATAGTTTTTATTGATATTACTGATGAATAAGGAAGTAGTTGACAAGTATCTGTTGAATGTATGATAATATTCTTTTATAGAAATAATGAATCACAAGAAGCTGCTGGTAAAATCACAATTATTGTAGAAAATCCTGCTGGTTTAACACAATGTTCAGCAGTGTTAACTGTTGAACGTAAGTTTCACAATTTAATATTGCGTAGCAGTTTGCAGCCTGTGTTCGAATACAATCTTGTTTACTACATAATAAAATGATTTGAAACTTAACATAAATTCATAGATAAACAAGTAGAGAGTAAGGATGGGTGTGGGTGGGGGTGGGGGTGGGTGTGGGGTGTGGGTGTGGGTGAATTGAGTATGAAGATGCACACCCACAATCCACATCCTCGATAGAACACGATCTCCTGATTACGAAAAACTAGTTTTCAGCTTTGGATGTTGATGTGGATCTCTTTTCATTCACACCCAGTGACGCATCTAGAATTCCTGTAACATCGGTCACTTCGGTGAAGAAGAGAGACGATCATGATCATAAAACATGTTCTGAAGCTCATTAGAGGTAGTATAAACCCATTGTTTAAGCTTTGCCTGCCAGGAACAAGGGTGTGGATGTGTACGTTGTGACTGTAGATTTGGTCGTGCGTGTGGATGAGTGAGGGTGTGAGTGGCAAGTATAGATGGAAACAAAAGAAACATCCACATCCAAACGTATACTTACGCCCTCATAACGAACGAAGTAGGTGAATTACCTGGCAATGTTCAAGTTATACCATTAGAAGATTCTTCTCGTAGCATTTAAATTTAGTTAAACTTTTTTTCTCTTTTTTTCCTCTTGATACTTTTTTGCTATAAAGTACATTTCGTTTCTTGGCAGCGGCTATGGGTGTCTTTCTCTTCGCTTATATTCATACCCACACCCACCCTTAAACTGCACGTTCTCTAAAGCATTCGAATTTCTCGATGTTTTTCTTTTGTTGTTTAAATGGAAAATTCAATATATAAACACGTTTATTTTTCACAAGAACTCCGAATGGATATTTTTAATGATAAAAGGATGATAAAAATACGCAGCTGTTTCATTAATTAGCTAATCTTTTGACATTTGTGAATACATACACTTTTTTTGTTGGTCTAGAATCTATGTCTCGCATCCAGTAAGTCACCTTGGCTACAAAAGAAAACTATACGAACTATAAGTCGAACTGAAACCATTCTTTTGATGATCTTTGCTACAGTTGAAATTTTGATGAAGATGTATCAGATCAAAACAACAATGACGCAGCTCTTGGTATTGGCAATTTTTTAATGTTCAATTTTATGCTCTTGCTGTTATTATCTAGTTTATCGTCAATGGGAACAAAAATATACATAACTATCGGTCATATTATTGCTATTCAAATTGGTAGACAAGCAACCATTCGAGTGGAGTCTCTCTTTGATTAATAGATACAATCTAAACTTCCTTCACTTGTAAGTTTTGTTTCAATATATGCTCTTTACTCAATACTTTCATGGAATATTGATTTATGCATATTAGACTTTTTTTCGAACAAAAATTCAGTTTTTAAAATTTTTGATGCTATTATCTTGCACAGTAAAGACTAAAATCTATACAAATATGTACATTATTCTACTGAGAGTTTCTTTAAATCACCCTTTTTCTTTGATGAAATAGTTGTCATTGAAATAAAATAAAATTTTCTTCATCTAACCGATATAAAGTGTGTTTTGACACAAGAGATTGACGTTTTATGCATGATTTCATTTTCTAGAAATTCTAAATAAAACGAGAAAATTTCCAGTATCAACGTATAATAAACAATGAATATTAGTTGTTTTTCATTTGTTCATCCTGACTGTCACTTTTACTAAAGCTACATGCCAAAAGTTAATTTTTTATGAACAGTTAAATTTACGTAATTTCATTCGAAGAGCATGTTCGTTTTTGTCAAAATACTTCATAATAATATCATATTGAATACAGATTTAATGAAGCTCTCTGTTCTTAAAATGATTCACCGATATACTTTTATTTTCGCTGATATTAGAAATTTTTCGTTAAACAAAGTCGTAAACAAATGATATTATTATATTTTTTTGTGTATCATCAAATTCATGCCAATCAAAAAGAATAGTTATGTTTCCGCATCATAAGGGCACTTTGTTACCTCGTGAAAATCCATGTTCACCGCCACAGAGTTCAAAGTTCCATCTTCGGTATCAAAAACTGGAATAAAACACAGATTCAAAATCAAAAAAGCGAAGAAAAACAATTTTTTGTTGTTTTATATTATATTTAATTCATTTCAGAAATATATCATCGCTAACAGTTTAGTGACGACAATTTCAGCATAAAATCAAGTAACAAAACAAAACAAAAAAAAAGAACGAAATCTACCACCATAAATATATTCCAGTGTAATGATCTGTAATATTATAATCAAAAATTAGTTTGTCATGATCAATCATTGTTTGGATTTGTTTGCTCTTTTCATAGGTGAACTTTCCCAAACATAACCAGAAAAGGTTTGGAACTTTACCTGATAATAAAAATTGTACAATTGATTTGACTTGACTTTCGACAGCAACAACTTTAGAACGTTGTAAACGAGAACAAAGATCGACAAAAAAATGAAGATAGCTTAATGAACAATCATCTTGGATGGATAATTCAGTAACTTTGCTAGTTTTTGATATCGAACGAATTTGATAAATCTGTTCGATTGATAAAGTATATTTATCCATCAATACCATATCGATTATGGTTAATGATTGAATATTCAATGAAAATCGTAATAATTGAATAAGTTGACTGGTAGTAAAATATGCATCTCGAATTACTAAATGAGTAACTTGTATCCACGGAATAAAATGATTAATATTGATTATTGAACGACCACTAGTTTCAATATCATTTTCAATCAGAGTAAGTTTACTCGCATTTGAAAAATGAATCCAACTATCGATCGCTATAACAGAAATACTAATCGTCAAATAAGAAGCTGACTTAATAATCGTTTCACAGACCTTACAATGATACAACTCATAAGGTTTTCTTCTAAAATCAACCAAAAAAAAACAACAAAAGATTTCAATTTAATCTATTACATTGAAATATTTTACATGTACGAATGAATAGAATGAAATATTCCTGCTAAATCATTATCATCATCATCATCGCATGACCAATGTTGACGTTTTAAGAATCATTGTTGATTAGTCCACAATGATGACTTGAATCTATCTAATAATCGATCCGAAAAAATATAATTATTTGGAGAAACGTTTTGGAAAATTATGGTAAAGATGTACGATCGAGTAATCCATGCATTGTTAATTTACACAACTTGATTATAGGTCAACGAAAAATACATTGAAGTACGTACATTATTTCATTTCCATCATAGCTTGATGAAGTGATGGAAAATGTAAAGAGACGTGGTAATGATACGAAAGTATTAAGAAGTTGAACAAGAAAATTGTTCGATGATACACCATCGAGAATGAGTGTTTCAAGATGAATAAACGAATTAATAGAGAATAATTGGAAAAACGAATCGATGGCACAATAATTGGATAGAGACAGAGAAACAATTCGATCAATATTCGGTTTTACAAGTATTTCACATCGATGAAGAAAATCTTTCTTTGGTATTATTGGTAAATTAATTTTGAGACGAAAAATTTGACTAGTAAATAGATATTGAAATCGAATGTTTAATTGAACAAATATTTCATAGATCAATTCATTTGAAAGATCTTCTCAAAGCAAGTAGATGAAACTAAAAAAAAACAGTTAGATAATATCTGTTTAAATTTAGTAAAAGATTAAAGACGAACCTAATACGTTATTGTTCATTTCGAGTGTGTCCATATTGTACTTACGTTAGCTTTATATTATTTTGATAGTGATCTGAAATAGAAATGCACATTTTAAAATAAAATTGTTGAAAAGGGATCTAGTGAAAGAAAAAATAATCTTAGTAATCATACCCGCTCCTCAGATGTGTGTTCTCGCCAGAGAAAGATCCGAGACAAAACTTTACTTCATTCTTGATCTCAAATAAAAGTTCGAATATATTGTCAAATTTGTCTAATTTAAAACTCTTTTTATATTATCATTCCTCTTCATACAGTTGACACATATCTTCGTATGTGTAAATGATAGAATCAATTCGTTCTTATTCTATCGATCAATGAATGTATTTGGGCGTCTGATGATCAAAAACCAATAGTGAATCTTGTTAGTCAAAGACTTGATTAGCGAAATAGTCGATAATCAGATGACAACACTGCAATTCGACGTGGTAATCGAGCGAACTGAAAACGAAATACTTCTTTCGACCCAAGAGAAATAAGACGACAAATATATTCGTCATGTTGAGAAAGAAAGAGTTATTTCTAACACAGTGTATACTGGAAAAGAAAGAAGTATCTATAACACGTGTTATTCCATCGTCTATTAATATTTGCGAAAGAGGAACATGCACTGAAGTATATGTGTGTATTGCATTTTCTCTTGAAGGATAAAAACATGTGTTACTTCATATGATGTGTAAACAAAATGATTCTATTTTGAAAAGATTTCCATTTAATTTTCGTATAAAATGAAGTGCAAACAACTAGATAGAGTTTTGAGACGATGTCTCGATTGAGAGTGTGGGTGTGGGTAGGAAGTGTGGATAAAAACAAGAAAAACACTCGCACACAACTGAAGTATAAGAGACAAGGGTGTGAATGTAACACTACGACCCACACCCACACCCACATCCTTCTTATCAATAAATCTCTTTCACTTTTCTACTAGAAAATCGACCGAAATCTCTCTTGTTATTTTATTTTTCAGAATGAAAACACGATAGTGAAATATCAAAACCCTCTAATGGACATTCAAGTTTGATTCAGTTTTGTATTGTTTTTGTATGTCTAATAATATATGACGAACAATATTCATATAAAAAAATGAAATAATGTGATGTAAAAATTGAAGTAACTAAATTATTTCTCAATAATATTATACGAATTTAAATCAATTCGTATACGTTTTGCTCTTTTTAAGAACATCTCCAGACACTATTCCAAATAAAATAAAAATAAAAATATAAAAACTATACGATAGCACTATACTGTAAAAAAAGGTGAGTGAGGGTGTAGGCGAATTTCAATGTATTAAAACGATCTTGTTCTTCAATCCTTGTTTTTCGTTTCATGCACGATAAGAGAGTGGAGACGTTAATGATGTAATTATTAATACGATTTTATTCTCGCTTATTTGCAACGAATAGAAGCAAAAGAAAAATAAATTACCCAGACTAGGGTAAAAAGAAAATAGAACCGTATAATTATACGATTTTTTTTTGTTAGTATTTTAGTAGGTTGCATTAAAACGCATATACATATGTATCGACACTAAACTACGTCATATATACTCTCAACTCGACTCAATGTATGTAACACTACTTGTATGGGTTTTTTCCATCTTGCACATAGCTATCATGATTCTTCAGGGTTAAGAATAATATAACACTAACCTTACATAGTTCTATTTTTTGCATAGTGCATTGCCGACAGAATTATTTTTTGTAATAGATGTATCCATTGGACCGCACGTTATTTTACTCACGATATATTCATTCTTTATTTACTTTGAAATAGAGGTGTTCACAGGACTGAGCAAGATCTTTATGCTCGGTGACATCCTGTAAAAACTGGAAAAAGAGGTCTACTGAAAACTTGTATTTCTATTTCTTATTCACGTAGTTTGTCGAACTAAAGGAAAACATTAATAAAATTGTAATGTATGTATCATTTGATTCGGATAATGATATTTACCTAATGTCTGCTCTTCAAAACTATTTAATTCCATAGTCAAAAGGGCAGAAAACATCTCTGTAGGGGGAAAATATAAAACGCAATGTACCTACCTTCGATGATCTAAAGGAAATTCTTTGAATTTGTTTTTTTCACAGAGCATTTCTAAACCATGCTTTCAGTAATTTCTTCTGAATAGGAGTCAGTATAACTGTTCATAATATTAAAATAATAGATGTGCACTCTGTAATCGTATATCATCAATGTCTGTCAAAATTTGTAATCGGCAGACAGATGAATTACTATTATTAATATGCCCGACAGGATGCCTTTCATTAAATACAACATTAATGTTAAAGAACTGTTTATGAATAAGCTATTCATTTCTATCCAATATATCTCAAGAATTTTCTTAGATCGTGTTTCATAAAACGCATGATAGGATAGATTTGCTAACCTTTAAAAGCTACGTATTTTATGTATCTTTTTACAAAAACATCCGTGTTTTTCAACAGAAACAGTAAGCGTAATTCGAGACTCGTATGTTGCCAATAGATTTTTCGCTATACTGCTTACTAAAACAAAATATGTTGCATATGTCATTATTGGGGACATATGCTGATAACATGGTTCAAATCTAGTAATCAGAGCGCTTTTCATTTTTCCCTGTAAAATTAAATATTGGAATTTTGTTCGATCTAATTTGAATTAGTGATGTCTGTTCTGAAAGTGCAAAACCGTTAGATTCGGTATGTATTCGACTTGTAACAAAACAAGAAATAATCTAGATAAGTCTCGTATATTCAATGGACTTGTCTGTATGTAGCTGTGTGTGCAAGACAAAATGATCAGTGAATAGTCAATAGACAATAGATTAGCCAGGTCACATTTTTGTGGCCATATATGAGTTTATAACTAGGAATACGTTTTATTTTAGTGTGCAGCAATGATATTTCAGTGGAATTTTCGATGGTTATTCTTCTACTTGATGTTCACAAAACTGAATATATCTTATGTAATAGCGACTTGGCCATTGTTAAACTCTTCGAACATTCAACTATTAGGCCTTTTTGATAATATACCAAACACAACGGAATCTAGCGAAATATATATTCACAGTCGAGCTATGTTTAGAGCAGCTATAATACTTTCTCAACAATACAACATAACAATAGATGGACAATTCATAGGATGGCAATTAGAAGAAACTAATGGTAATATAATCAATGCACTTAGTAAATCATGTCAAGCTGTGTCTCGTTCAAATATTGTTGGTATTGTTGGTCCAGGGTTATCAAGAGAAGCTCATTTAATAGCTGATTTTGGTAAAACCATAGGTATACCTGTTATATCGCCTAGTGTAACTGATCCTGATTTATCTGATCACAATGCATATCCAAATTTTTATCGTATAGTTCCTTCAGATAATTCAAGAGCATTAGCAATTGTAAAATTATTTCATCTATTCAATTGGACATCATGTATACTTATCTATCAAAATGATGCATTTGGATCTGGAGCAGCTAAACGAATGGATGAAGCATTCAATAATAATAATTTAATAATTGAAAAATTCATAATATTTGATATTAATATACTTCGTATTCGAGGTGATTTAAAAACATATTTAACAAATAGTGCAACTCGAATTGTTATTGTATGGGTTCAATCGAATTATGTATCTATTGTTTTAAAGACGGCTCTTCAAGCTGATGTATTGGGTCCATTATTTACATGGATATTAAGTTCAAGTATTTCATTAGATTCTTTTAATAAAACATATCATGATAAATTATTGGGACTATTTTCAATTGAACCTGTTACAGCAAGTATTGTTAATGCATCAATTAATACAACATTATTAAAAGCAGCATATAAGATTTGGAAACAATATGAACCAGAATCATTTCCTAGAAAGGCAAAAGTAAATTCCTATTCATTATTTGCATTTGATGCAACATGGTCATTAATTCTATCATTAGAAAAACTTTATTCAACAATAACAAATAATTCTTCTTCATGTTTATCATTTGTCGGATCTTCATATTGTTTTGATCGTCGTTTTGTTCATTCAGATCTATTATTAAATGCCCTTAGCACAATAGATTTTCTTGGTGTATCTGGTCCTATAAAATTCATTGTTAACGTAACAGATCGAATCAATGGTTCTTATTATTATGTACAAAATGTTCAACATTCTTCAAATGGTTTAAGTTTGGTACCAGTATTACAATATTCTGATTCAAGTGATTGGACAATGTTTCAAGGAACAAGTGTTATAATTTGGCCATACAATTCATTAGTAGCTCCGTCTGGTCGAGCAACACTTAAAGGTGTACATTTACGAATCGGTGTTATCGAATCAGCCCCATTCACAATACAACAAAATGTTACTAGTAAATCCGAAGAGAAAAAAGAACATTTAATTGGTTATGTACCTGATTTGATTAAATTGTTAGAAAATCGAATCGGATTTATTTCCGATATTCAAATAGCACCATCAAATGTAAGATATAACGATTTAATTCAAGCAGTCGAAAATGGTACTTATGATATTGTCATTGGTGATGTAACAGTTACAGCTACACGAAGACAATCAGTTGATTTTTCTGATGCGATTTTTGATAATTCTTTATCTATTATAATGCGAAAATCACCTGATATTCATATTGATCTATTATCATTCTTAAATACGTTTTCAACTACTTTATGGTTATTAGTATTAGGTTCTTTTATTTATGCTGGTTTATTGATTTGTCTTGTAGAAAGAAATCATAATACAGCATTAAAAGATAGACCAATACTATCTCAACTAGGAATGAGCATTTGGTATTCATTTGGTAATATAGTTGGATATGGTGTTGATTTTCATGTTAGTACATCTGCTGGACGTTTAGTAACTGCTGGTTTATATATGTTATGTTTAATATTAGTAGCGACATTTACGGCAAATTTAACATCAGATTTAACAATATCAAAAACCAAAGGTATTGTGTCAGGAATTGATGATATCAAAAAAGGAATAATTCCACTTAATCGTATTGGTATTCGTGATGGCACAGCAAGTGAAGATTATTTTTTAAGAGAAATATCTGCTAATAGTCGAAGTTTTTATTCAGTACAAACTCAAAATGAATTGTATGATCGTTTACTTGATGGCACTATTGATGCAGTTCTTTTTGATACGAGTACGGCTGAATATAGTATTAATAATATTTATTGTAATTTAACTTTAATTGGAGATGGTTTTAATAAAGGTGTTTTTGGTATTGTTACTCCAAAAGAATGGCTATATGGTAAAGATTTAGATGTTAATATTTTATTATTAAGAGAGTCAGGTGAACTTGAAATGTTACGTAAAAAATGGTTTCAAACAAACCATTGTCCACATTCATATGAAACATCAACTTCAAAGACTGTTGATTCAATGCGTGGATTATTTTTAGTCTTTGCAATAACTACTTTTCTATCATTATTATTATTTATATGGTCAAACCGATCTATTTTCAAGATCTATCTATCTGAATGGTTAGATCAAACGAAATCGTTATTCCAAATTCGAATACCTTTCATAAAACATTCAGGAGCACGTTAAATTCGATAGTAGGTTTTATGCTATAGAAAATAGTTTGTTTAGTGTTGTTTGAAATTTTTTCGCTGGATTTACTCATGTTTTCTAATACCAACAATTAAAATCATATTCGGAATTTCATTAACATTTTTATTGTTTGTATACGATAATATTATTTATTAGATCGAACTAATAACACAACAAAAATGTTGCTCAATTGTCGATATTTGAGTCTCTCAGAAACTTTTTTTTGAGCAAAACATTAATACATGCACAAAACTTTAGACTACATTTATTGTACAGTTTTGACCAAAAACTCTCTTTGCTTGTCTTACTAAAAATTCAATTAAAATCTTTATTATATTTTTTTTCAGGATGGAAACAAAACGACAGACATCAGCAACACTACAATGCATCCCAGTTTGACTGAGCATTGAACTGTCTTATGTTGAATAATATTTGACAATAAATATTAAAATAAAATAAAAAACCAATATGAGAAAGCAGAAATCTCCATTGTAATGCATAAAAGTTTTTTCTTCATTCACATTCTCAGACGTGGAATCTTGTAATATTCATTTCGATACTCCATTCTCTTGGTAAAAAAACATCGTATGCTATTAATTTTCCCTACAAAACAGAATACTGCGTGGCTTCATGGTAAAAGGTTTATATTTGGCATACACCGCGTTAGAATTTTGTCACTGCAGGTTGTGAATGTGACTAAAGGGAAAATGCACACCAATGCTCACACCCTTTGGGTACACAAATTTATTTAAATTAGATTTCGCTTTGCAATACTATCAATTTATAAATATGACTATATTCAACAAGGGTGGATATGGATGTTGATGTCATAGAAGAAAAGATCCACACCCACATCTACCCATACTCAAGACTGGTTCATTTATTTTTAAAAGAGTATCGCCAATCCTAGTCCTTAATAATCGAAGTACTGCAAAATATCCGATTTGTTTCGACTGAGTATGGAGGGAAAGACAAAGTAATAGAATGTAAAGTAAAGAATTTTCTGATATCTGTCATTTTTGTGTAATGTCCGATGTTATTGATATATTTCTTAATTTGACTGACAGTTAGAGAACTTGTAAAAAACCGATACGGAAGTCAAGACAGACAACATCTGTTGTATATCTGTATTTTGATATGTCTCATCATATTTTGTACTTTCGTATACAAAAATCAAATACAAAAATATGTCAAAGTATCAAAACGTATGAGAAAATCAAATGCACAATATTTGTTTCTTAGCGAAAATTGCAAATGTGTACGTTTTAAAATTTATTAATTGTGTAAAATGAATTGAAAATATTAAATTTAAAGATGAGTTAAAAACTTCTGTATTATAATAATATTTTATTTTAGTTAGCAAGCTATTTACAATATGCATTTGAAATTTTAAATAAAATTAAATCATAATATCAAAAGTATTTAGTTTCTTTTGAGTTTAAATAATTTTCAAATTATCTTTGCACTTGAAATTCTATTTCAGAATAATAACAATTAATTCTAATTGGTAATAATCAAAAGATACCCTTGAAAAAAAGAGTACTTTAATTTATTTTGTTTAGTCTTGTCTAAATGATTTGGTATTTTTGGAAAAAAAAAATAATTTTTTATTCATTCGAGAATCTGAAGAAAAGTTCGAGTAAAATTGTAGTATATACCACCTCGGGATGATTATGAACGTGTAGACATTAATTTCTTGACTGTATGACTTAGTGCTCTGAATGATACGTAAGTGATGTATCATATGTATGTATTCAAATCTGTCCATCATCCTTATCTATTCTAAATTTGACTAGTCGGAACTCAACCAATACATCAGATCACAACGCATTCTGTGTACTCTTTTTTTTTTTATTTAAAATCGTTTTTTGATAGACTTCAGGAGGATAAAATATGCCTAGTCTTTTTCTTAAGAAAGCTATACGTAACAGACAAAATGATGCCCATCAGTTAATCAGCCAAGACGTAAGCTATGGACTACAATTGATTTCGGACCAGGCATGTACAAGAACTTGTCGAGAAAAAATCTAGACAAGATGTATCGAGACGATTAGAAATAGGACTGGTCGTTTTAGTCGCAATTTGCTCACCTGGGTCATTTATTTTAAAAACTAAGTGTTGAGTAGCTTTTGTCGATAGCTCCATATGTTTATGTGCGTTTTTTACGTGTCCATGTCGATAATATTTGAATGCTGCATTTTTCTGCAAAATCAGCTTACGTTAATAAGCGATAAACTGAGCAAGCAAACAGTATAACGTCATCAATGGGAAGAATACCTGAAATATTTTTTTACGTTTCAATAATTCATACATTACCGCAGTAACTATGCGTATTGTAGATGAAAGGAGGGTGTCTTGTTTACATAGCATGTTTGTTTTCCGTTTTGACGAGTATAAAGAACGAACAGAAAAATTTTAGGCAACATCGAACGCATTATAAAGTAAAATAATTCGATTTCATTACTAAAAGATTTTTCAATATGAATATCAATTAATATCATCTTTTATAGACAGACGACTTCTACATTTACATGAATTAAAATATGTAAAAAAAACATTGCGCGATATTGTAAAGCATAAAACTGCTAGTACGCTATATAACGAAGAGAACAGCTTTCAAAAATTAATAAATTCAATATATTACTTAGCATAAAACAATAAATTATTTAACCATATTAGTTTTTTCATATCTTCTCTCATTCTATCGTCATTATTTTAACTGAAAATTATACAATTGTCATCAATTTCGTTTTTATTCCACAACAATTGGTCTACGAAATCAATATAATAATAATTTGTCAATCATCATGCAGACATATTATGATTAGAGTTATAACGTAACTGATCTATGTTCCCAACATATCCTTCTATTGACAGTTACATATTAGAAAAATATCATGATCATGATACTTAGAATTCAATCTTATAGTAAAAACATCCTCAGAAAAAAAAACACTACCGACGGCAATATCAATAACAGAAAATTTATGCCTAGCAGACAAACATCATATGAAAAGCAATTCGTTCTCATTTTTGTTTCGCATAAAACAGCTATCGAGCACGGCAAACGAAACATCAAGAGTAACGCAAGAACTATTTTTCAACCATCGAAAAACATGGAACGAAATATGTGAAAGAATAAAATATTACAAATAATGGACTGTATATTTCAGTCAGATTTATGACAAAAACAATCACTTAAATTCATAGAATCTGGTTGTCAAAATTTTTTTTTCTTAAAAAATATTAGAACAAAGATCTTATTATTAAAATTAAAATAAAACATTATAAGTAAAGATAATCTTTCATGCTTTCGATATTTGACTTGTTTTCAAACAGTGTGTAAGTATGGATGTAGGGTTTGAGTGTTAGAATAGGAGAGTCACCTACACTCACCCCATCATACAGTTGAATTCATTATCCTTTCTATTTATAAGTAATAGATTCGTCTCCATATTTTGATAGAGTAATTGTTTTTTAAATATTCAATCAAAACTTTACAAACATTTGTTATTTTTTTGTATTCAAAATGTTAAAGAAATTGGTTTTTTTATAGTGTGCTGATAAAGGATGTGCGTGTACATGAAAGTCTTTTCTTTACTCACACCCACACCCATAATTTAAATAATATTTTAATGCAACAATTGTATCTTCATCAAATTTTCATCGAAAATAAATATTAAATTAAAATTATGAATATCGAAAAAAAGAGAAATTCTCAGATGACTAATTCTAAACGTGTTCGAAAAATTATTGACAGATAATTTAGCATTTTTTGTCAAATTAAAACCTATATATATGTAAAAGATGGTGGAAAAAGTTTAATAACAACGTATTTTTTTATTCTTTGTCTTGTATAATGTTAAACAACTAGATCTAAAATACAGATGATTTTTAGCAGAATGTCTACGAAAACAGTCATCTTAAAACCAATACTGATTAAATCTTTATATATGACTTACCTGAATATCCAAGAAAATTTTATAGTCGATCAAATTAGCTGTTGAACAAGTATTTTGAATAACTAAATATAGCTTATATATACTGAGCGGATTATGTTCACGATACTAGTTATCTTGAAAAAATTAACTGCTCAACTCTTGTCGAGAAAAATCATACTGAAAAACATCATATTACCATTCAGTGAAGTTTCTCAATGAATTTCAACAACTATTAAAAATTCAGAAAAATCAAATTTTTTTAATTAAGATTTTCTTATCTTCGATGTGAATCAATCAGTAATTCTTCACATGATTCAATAACTAAGTCAAGATTCTCTGTTAATTCATTTAATTGAAATACTTGTTGATTATCATATTCTTTGTAGTTGTTGAGTCATCATTTTTAGAAGAATATGTTGTGAACGTTGAGTCATATCAATTAATTTTTTTTCGAATTTGTTCACTCGCTTTTTTATTATGATATTTCGTTGTTTAGTTCTCTTGTGCGATATTAGGTTCAGAAACTTATTCTAATATTCGTTCTTCTTTATCAATCTCTGAAGACTTTTTTCCGAACCATGACCTTCTTCATAACATATCTAAATAGTTCATTATTAGCGTATGTGTAAAACATCAGAAAACACAGCATCAGATAACAAGTAAATAAAAACAATAAGAATTCAGGTTTTTCTTCAAATCATGCACATCCTAGACACACATCAACTGCCGCAATAATGTATGAGAATGATGAGATATGTTTAATCTGAAGAAATACCAATTTTATTGATAATAATCTAACAAAAATTATAAAAAAAAATTTGAAATAAAAAAAGTAAAAATATTTGATATAAAGATAAACTGTTCATTCTGAAGGATTAATTGTTCTTTTAAATATTTTTGTTGTCGGTAACGTTCTATAAAAGAAAATTCAATGTTTTTTATGGAATGAAAAGATACTTAATTACACTCACCCAATGATATTCTCATTATCTTCATTTTGACGTTTACTAGTCATTTCATGTATGAGGATATTATCTGAAAACGTTTAAATGTCATTAATAATTCATTCAATACGAAAAACAAAAACAAAAATATACTTTGTTGTAATTCATTATTTTCTGGATAAGAAGTTTGCATCATATTAATCGATTCATTTACTAAAATATTAACAAAACAAAATTTCAACAAATCAATAAATAATTTTCCTACTATCAATCAATTCCATTGATTGCACAATTGAATGTGAATACGATTTTGGATGATCAAAATTATTCATTCCAACATCTTGCAGACAAAATCGTACAAAAAAATGATTGAAATCTAAAAAAAACAATATTTTATATTAGTCATTTTACAAATTATTATTTCAATCTGTTTAATTTTGTGATATGTAAAAACGTGTTTCAAAGTAAAACAGTGAGTGTAACTTTTTTTTGTTCTTATCTCAAGTCAGTGGATACAAGTCTGTTCACATACAGAAAATATGTTGCACAGCAATTATAAAAGTTCTTCGTACATTCTAGAAACTTGTCAAGTATTCCATCAACTTCAAATACTCTAGATTTTTATTTTTGAAGCATTTAAATAAAGTTCTTATCAATATTGATGATTAGTTATGTTAAAGTCAACATGCAGCGTACAGAAAAAATACAAACTGATTGATTTATAATTTTAGACAAAAATCAATAGGAAAATTTCAGACTTCATCGTGATATATGATAGTACATTGAATGATTCAATAAGTATGTACAGCAGATTAATATGAAAGTTAAGTCACCAAAAAAAAAAAGAAATAAAAACATCAAATAAATAATTAACAAATACTAACCAGTCGAATAAAAGTTAGAACGCCAGAAAAAAGAAAAGAAAAGAAAAGAAAAGAAAGAAATGTATATCCGATATCGAGAAATAAATAGCATTAAGGATATTCTGACGATCAAATATCTTTAAAGAGGAATTCGCAACGATCAAAGACGTACTGAACCGATTTTTCAACGATGAAATCGAACCGAGCCGGACTCAAACCGATGAAATCACCCTCCACTTTGTCTCTGATATGAAGTCTACCTTTCAACTTATTAAAAGCTACACTAGTAATTTGTTTTGTTCAATTGAATGAGTATAAAAGAACTATTTTGTTATATTTATCATTCTAATACCTGTGATATTATCTTGGTTTGATAATGGTTTCAATTGAAGACCATTATGTATCTGTTGCTGATTAGATAAACGTTCCTTGATAATAGTGAGCTGCAGACTACATAAAAAAAAAAGGAATAATTGTATTCTATTATATTTATCTAACAACGAATAGATATCGATCATTGAACATGGAACTTACTTAATTGAATCAATATTCACTTTAAAATATGCTGGATTTTGAATATCATTTTCAAAAGCAATTTTATAGATATAACTTAAATCATCATTTGTTATCAGTGAAACTTCAAGTAGTTTGAAACCAGATTTTAATGTGCAATGATATAATTGTGGAATCTATATATTAAGAGAAAAATATATTTAATCAATGTTTTCTTTTTTCAATATATTACTTCAAGAAGAAATTGTATTATACAACGATTGTTTTCATTAAATGAAACATCTTCATTAATAATTTTCATATCCACAATTTTGAGTTGGCATTCATGATAATTCCATGTTGTTGGTGAATCATCAGAATTGACTAGAAAAATATCAATGATTACATTGAAAACTATATATCAATATTAAAATACCTCCAATAAAAATATTTGAGATGATAACAGGTGAATTTGGAGTAGTAAGATATGAAACTCCATCTGGTTGAAGTTCAACTGGACGAATTCCAAGAACTAGATTATCAAGTTGATAAGTTTTATTAAATTGTCTTGGTGTTATATCTATTGAGTTTTCTTCGCCTGAAATATATAAAATATACAGATAAAGAATGATGAATAACTATTCATACCAGATGGATAATATTTAATTGTGCATTTAGGAGTTTTTGTCCAATGATATTGTTTATCAGATTCACTGTTACGTAATAAATCTTGTTGACATTTTTTAGCAATCATTAATTTTAGTCTACATAAAAAAGATTCATCAAAATATAAACAAAACTCGATAAACAATATTTACTTGATAAAATTACATTCAACATCTAATTGGTTAGATTCAAGATAAATTGGATTAGAAAATTTTTTTGCATCAGGCATATTTGGACTATAAAAAGTATGACGACTATAAATACATCTATTGTCAGGCGTCTTCGAAAGTAAACTAATTTCAAGATGTCGATTGGTGAATAAACTATCAGGCTAAATTCGACAGTCAAAATTTCATAATTATTTCTATATGTACTTACTCCAATAAATATTGAACTTTCTCCAAAATAATCTTTTATATGAGCCATTTTACCTGACATTTTATTATTAATCAATTCACGTTCATATCGTACACGAGTTTTTGGCGCAATAGGATGAAGTAAATAACCATAAGGTATTACATCTACTAGTAGTTAGAATATAGAATAAATAGATGCTATTTAATTGTATACTTACTGCCTGATGGACATGCTTCTGTATTTATCAAAGTATTTTGTGATATTTCATTAGAAGATGATTGTAATGGTAAATATAAATTATTAATTAATGATGTATTATGTTCTTGTTGATTTTCTATAATAAAATTGAATTATAAGAATTGAATTTTTATTTTCTTTAAAAATCAAAATATATATACCAGATTCTGTAAAATGATCATTTGCCACAGTAGAAAAATCTGAAAAACAATAAGAAAAAATTATTGAAGAAAAATGATTTGATTTTCTTGTTTTCACCGGTGATGCTAGATATTTGTTGATCAGTAGGTTCTTCGACAATAGGATCTGTGTTATTCTCATGTGCCACACCACGTCTCCAAAATTCCTCAAGATCTGGTATCGATTCATTCGTCTCACCTATATTTAGAAAACAAATATGCCTAGAAAACCTTGCTCTTTTTTATATAAAATAATACACACTATGTATTGTTTCTGTTGTGGGCAGATGCTCATCATTTTGAAAAGTTTCTTGTTCGGAATACTCTATCCATACATCTTGAAGATTTAAAGATGGTTGAGAAGGAAAATCTAATTTGAAAAAAAAAAAAGGAATTTTTAAAGAAACTTTTATTGCTATCAATAAATATTACCATTTATAGTTGTGTGTGATGGCACCTGATTTTCTAAAGATGTTATTGTTGGTTGTATCTCTACGAGAACAAAATAAATCTATTCTATTAATATATTAAAATAAATGCAATATTTACCAGTAGATGTATCCGCAAGAACACTGGGCAAATCTGACTCAACCTCAGAATCAAAAATAAAATTTTTATTATTATTTACGATATTATATAAATCTGGTAATGGCGGAGTCTTCAATGGTGATTCATTATCTAAATTAAATATTGTCGATTTCTAATCGATTAAATAATTATTTACTCACTATCAAAATTGATAATAAGATTATAATCTTTGTTATTCCTAGAAATATATACATATTTAATAAGATACATTAAACTACGACATTTTATTTTAAGATGTAGTTAAAAGTGACTTACATTTTATGAAGATTTGTTTTTATAGTAAAAGAAATCAAAATTTCCAACACTCTTTTATGTTTTGTTCACATGCTTGGAAAAAACGTGACATCGAGAGATTTAACGTGACAGTTGTTATGATTACATTATGAATTTTACTATACGACCCAATCATTATACGATTTTAGAGGTTTATATGATATTACAATAATATATTCTTTTTACATGCCATTTATATGATATGCATTTAAAAAAACTTATGGAATGTAAGAATATATTTAATCTCCTATACGAAAATCAAAATTGAATTTTTACATCTTTAAAACGGATTAATCTATTTGTTCAACGGCAGAAACCAATTAGTAAACCCATTTTTTCGATGATGTTTGCCTTAGTCGTTTTTCAAATTTAATAAAATTTGATTCAAACATTTAAAATATTAAAAATACTTAGTTTCGTTTTATTTTCTCACGCACACGGAGCAACGCCATCATAGAATTCGTTAGTGGGGTAACGCTTTATAAAACGGTCTTTGCATCTTTAAAATGGTGATTCACGACAAGAAAAGAAGATGGCGTAGGATACCGAATCATAATTACTTGATTTCCAGATTGAAAGGATAGAGTCTGGAAACAGAAATTCACGTGTGTCTGTATATCTGTCTGTAACATAGTTACCATATGGTAACTATGTCACAACTGACTACCTAGTAATTATAAATCAGACCGTCAGAAAAGATTCTAAAGACATGACACATCAAGCGATTACTGTTAAAATTAACAGACTGATATGGAATATATAAAAATTCAGTTGACGAGCATTCTTAATAAATTATTAAGTCTAATTGAATTGGGTTTAATCGTGTATAGATGAGCATATCATTGATTCATAAATTATAACTTGTTGAGCAAATTTGATCATAAAATTATGATAAACGACAGTCTTCTTTTTAAACTCTGTGATAAAACTAATACAATACGATTTTGTTTTGACTACGAATAGCACTAATAAGTTAATTGAAAAAAATTGTTCATAATTTTGATATAATTATTAATGGAAATATGCATAACAATACTAATAAGAAAAACTCGTCGCATCTCAGCAGTTTCTTTGACAATTACCTAGAACAGAAACTATTACCAATGCAAATTCTCGAGTGATATCATAATCCCGTTATGCTCGGTAACGACTTTTCCTCCATTTACCCTTACTAAGTATTCATGAATTAGAGTCCTTTCGGTGTAATGACTTTGACGGTAACGGCTTGTGTCGTGTATTTCTTATAAGGAAACCGAAACAGTTCCGAAAAAAACTCATAACTTTATCCTGTCCTGTGAAAGTCGTTACCCTAAAAGTCATTACACTAAAACAACTCAAATGCCTCAACTTTTAACATATAGTTATATCAAAGCCTTTACGCTAAGGATAATTACATCAATTTTCAGGATCTAAAAACATTACATCTCGATTGGATACTCCATGGGTATTATGACATCTATTCAATTCAATACTTGATTGTTTTCTTGTGTTGAGTTGTATAGCACTTTCAGTGTTTGATACACATTTATATACGTGTACTAGTGTTAAGCAACTTCTTAGTAATCAATCACATCATCTGATTGCTTTAGCTCATGTTGAACAAAATAAAAGTGTTTTTATTGATTGTCATGATCCAAAAGAAACTATTCGACAATATGATTCATGACAAGAATGAAATTTAATAAAAACTTGATCAAAAGAAAACTTAATTAACAAAGACGATGCTGGTAGATTACAATGAATGATATTTTGTTTTATTTAGTATTTGTTCGTAATCTTAGCTATTCAATGTATTCGTGTTAACCCATCTGGTTCACAATTGGGACTTGTTGTTAAACATAAGAATGATCAATTTCGTATAGATCTTTATGCAATGAATTTAACACGTGTATTTACTACATTTCTAATTATGCCTTCATTCAACACCATTTATTGATGATCATTGATGGTTAGTTGTTTATGAAAATAGAATGCATGAACTTTCTCTTTTACTTGTTGATGGTCAAACAGGAAAATCACAGAAACAATTATTGATGATTCTATATTTAATACTTGTATGTTAGATGAACAATTTTTAATAGCTCGAACGAAACAATCAATGTTAATCTATGATGTTCAATATAGTCTCATTTTTGGTTTGTTTTAGTATTGTAGATTGTATAAAAAAATATTCTTGAAAGAATTTATGAATAAAAACTCTTCAAACGATGATCAATAACTATGATATAAGACAAAAAGAAGAGGTCTGTAATTATTGATCGGAAATGGTATGGTTAAAAATGAATCAGATTGTTGCTTAGTTTTCTTGATACCATTTTCGTCTATGAAATCTTTATGCTTCGTTTTTTTCCTAGAAGTTGATTTCACATTTACATGTTTTATTGTTCAGTCAAGCAAAGGGTGATATCAATTTTTTTATATTGGATATAAAATGCACAATCAAATTTAAATAGAAAATATTCATTATTTATTATATTTGATTAAATATATTTAACATTCTAATTGTAACAAGCATCATCTTCGTTAGCATATATTTTCATTATATTTTTGTGTTTCTAATTCAAAAGTTGTAGTTAGACTGTTTGAACGATGTTTGTGCCACTAATGTTTTGCACTACGCTAGGTGTATACGGTCCAGATCCTATTTCATAGATACACATTACTGGACAATGGTCAGACACCGAATATCCTCCTGTACAAATCAAATTTCTTAATACATTCGCTAAAATAGGACGTGCATAATTGTTTTGCGTTATCCAATCTAATGGACAATCACCAAGAAAATCTTCTTTAGGTGTACTAGGACGTTGTGGATGAGTAGGAAGACAAGGTAATCGTAATGCACTAAAACAATCAATAAAACCAGCTTCACGTAAAATACGTCGTGGATGAAAATTTTCATTTAAATCTCCCATAAATAACATAGCTAAATGAGGATCACCAAACTTTGATTGTAAAGCGTGTAAAGCTGTTGCTGTACGTTGTGCTTGTTGTTGACGTAGATTAATATTTGTTGTATGCTCTTCTGCATGACCTTCCCATGTATAATGTGCAGTTGCTATCAAAATTTGTTGAGTAATGATCTTTTCGGACTTCGTTTGTTCTTCAGTTGTCAGTTTAAGTGTTTTAACTTTTAAAAGTACCCAAAACAGACGTCGTAATGTTTCTTTCATGCCAATATCAATAATACCATATTCTACTATATCAAATAAATTTCCATTCCAATATATATTACTCTCATTCTGCCAACCAGCAAAATCATCTTTAATATATGCATGAGATGGCAAAGCTTCAACAATAAGATCATGAAATAATGGATGTAATTCTTGTACACACAATATGTCAGGTGTAAATGTGGTTAAACATTCAAGAAGGGGTAGACGACGATGCGGCCAATTTCCAGGATAATTACTGACTTTCCACATGTTGAAAGTCATTACTGATATACGATGTACGCTCAAAGCCATATCTTCAATGAAAAAATGAAAAAAAATATAGATATGAACATTAAAAATAAAAAATAAAATCAAATAAATCAGAATCAAGATATTAATGAAGTTCGTTTCACGAATATATGATTGAAGAAGAATCAATGTTTTATTGTAAAAATATAAACGATTGGTCTAGTACTCTACTATATGTGCATGTACATCGATGTTGTGAAAATAGAAATAAGGTCAAGAAGAAAAGAAAGAGGAAAGAAAAAAAGAAAGCATAGACTCATAAATGCTAGTGGAGCCTTTTTTCTACCAGAACATTAATATGCATCCAAGAAACAAAAAAAAAATACTGCAGCTATGCTTTGCTTGTAATGTGCTTCCATTGTAAAAAAAAAAGATTTTCCTGTTGTGATTATTTATGATGCATTTGATTCGATAAAACTAATTTTATACGATATTACATATACAAATATAAATGGACATGAACGTGACAAGATAAAGCATTTTTTTTACGAAACTTGAGTAAGAAATAAGACTTCAAATTATTTAGAAAATATTGTAAATGATCCTCGTTTGTTGAAAATAGATTTATAAGAAAAGATTTAGATCAGTGATTATTCTAAACAATGTACGCGCGTAGGGAAAAAGTCTAGTTTGATTATCATGTAGGTGAACAATTCTAAACAGTAACGCAACCTTTGGATTCCTCGACTTATACTAATTATATGAAATTCTGTCACTTTCAACATGATTTGTATGAAGGTTTTTTCCTTTCTTACAAAAGATAAAAATAAGAGTGTTTTTTTTCACGAGCAAAAAATCATTACAGTTTATATCGGAATATTTCTCCTAACTAACGATTATAAAATAGGTTTATCATAGTTTTTCTCTTTATTGTTTTCAACTTCTTGTGTTGCTGTTCATCTCTGATATTTTCTTAATCATTTCGTGTTTACAATATAATATCGATGATGCAATAATACTGGATGATTTTCTTAGTATTTGTCAATGAAAAACTACAAAATATTGTCATGATTCTTAAGTGTTACAAAAACAGCAAGAAATCATGTCATGTTTTTCTTTATTTGAGTCACTAAAAATCTTCTCAGAGGTGAAACTATTTCATTTTGAGAATTGTCTGGCGAACGTTGAGATATAAAAGATGACATCGACATAATATTTTCTCAAATTTCAAAATATTTCTATCTTAAAACAAAGTACTGTACATGATCTACGTATGACATTTAATTTTTATTTGAGAAGATGAGACGATTTCGCCGATTTTGCTCGTAATATTTACCGTTTAGCGTTCTTGTTGCTTTTTCTGATTATTATGATTAGATAAGAATGGTAAATAATATCTCGAAACAAAATGAAGAATTCAAAGTAAACTTTGTCATCGAGTTTTTCTCTTTTCACTAAGAAGTTCATTATTGTTTATTTCAGATAAATAAGATGATCAACTCTTCTAACAGTGTTTTGAGATTTCAATAATTATTTTCATTCATTTTACCAATCTATTTATTGATTGAATCTGTAAGTGTTGAATTCTATCAGAAACATTTTAGAAAAGAATAGTTGGGTCTTCTGTATCTTTTATTGTTGGCAGTTCTGTAATCTAAGATAAGTAGATGCTCAATTTATTCTTATCTACATCAAGTAAACAATTTAATCGTAGAGTCATCTTTTGTTCCATCTAAATGGGTTAGAATTCCCTTAATATATTACACATCTTGTAAGCTCCTGTTTTAATAATCAATATTTTTAAAATTGAAAAGACAACTTTTCTTCGTTTTGTTTCAAGTCTATAGAGTCACATTCGATTGCTAGAAATGCCTTGTATTTTGTTTACTATAGTGCTGAATTTTGTGTAATTATAGCACTACTCAATTATTGGTCGAAATTTGATAATTTATTTTATTTTATTTTAAAATATTTGCATTTGCATATAGAAAATTTTTCGTTTTTAACAATTATTTTCCAGCGAATATTAGAATTGTATGAATTTTATTCCTCTGTTGATAACTAATCGGGATTCATGTTTGTCGCTATGAAACCCCTAAGTATGAAACATACTCTATGGCCCCGAACAGACCGAACAAAATAAAACTGAATTAACCAATGAGACGATTAGAAACGATAAAACAGAAATAAGTCATCTTTTCGAGACGATTTATCTTAATTCAACTTTTAATGCGCCAATCATTCAATAGCATGATTGAACAATGAAAGATATATGAATAGATAGATAGAGAATAGATGTGATGTCGCTGGAAAAAATTAATTATTATAAAATAGTACTAGTTTCGTTTGATATTCAATAGATTATGACTTTTCAAAGTGTTATCGATCTAACAAATAAAAATGTTTTTTTTTTACAACTAAAAACTTCATAAAATTGATTTATTTTCGCTACATTGTAGAGGATGTTCTCAATTTTCATTAGTGGATTATCTATTGTGTGTGGACGCGCGCTGACTTAAAACAAAAATTAAATCGCTCTATTTTTGGTCTGTTCGGGGCCTATGTCGGTTCGTTTACAATGACGGAAATTATTTGACTTTTTTTGAATTTTCTCTAAAAAAAATGAATATATATAATTCAAAACTACAATCTTAAATTGACATGTAACTAGAGCTATTGTAACATAATCGTATTATTTTTCTGAGAATTTCAAAAATTTTTGCAATCTCTTTTTGTTTCTAATTTAAATACTTTTATAACTTCTAGAATTGATCATATAGTTTCAATGATATGTGAATTTTTTAGAATACTTGTAGATAAACAAAGATTATGATTTCGGAAATAAACAAAACTCTAATTTCTGAAATTGTGTAGAGTATCACTTTATTTTAAGAATATCTAAAATATTACAATCGGTATTCAAATTTGGAAAGCAAATCAAGAATCTCTTGAACGATGGATAATCCAACAGGAACTATAAATTCACTATATCAATATGAAAATATTGAAGATAACATATTAAATAAATTGAAAAAGTTACGTCAGCACTATCCTGAACGTTTTCCACTATCGATTCATGTACTAGCAACTGTTCACGATACTATAGATGGTGAATGGCAGCAACGATTACGACAAGCAATGGAACAGCGAAATAGAGTCTCTATTTTTCTCATTCCTTATCAAATGTCTAATTTTAATTGGATTGTAGTCATAATTAAATTTAAAACAGACGGACAAGTTGAACGAGCTGAATTTATTGATCCACTTAGAGAGTCGAATTTGGATATCGACAAATTACAAATACAATTTGGCGAGATTTATCCAGGTATTATTTTACAGCCAAGAAGCATTCGAAAACAAGAAGATCGAGAGAAAAGTATTGAATTAACTATTGAAACTTTATTGAAATTAGCTGAAGAATATCAAACGACTAATATCAATGATTTACACGACAAAACAATAGGAGATCAGAACGCAAACGATCGTTTGAACAAAGAAAAAGGAAGTTTCCCGATATTAACTGCAAATGGAGGTAATCGTGTAAGACATCAATACTCTAAACAAATACCGAGTGTGAATATTCAGCATCAGTTAGAACAGCTAGTGAAAGTACCGCAAACAGAACTGCACAATAGTAATTGGAACGATGAAAATTGTCCCATAACAGAAGAAAGTTTAAGAAATATGCAAGAAGATTTTTCTTCAATGCCATCTTGTTCAGAAAAATCAATAATTTTTCTATTGTATTATCTTTCTTTAAAATTAATTAGTAACCCGATAGGTTTAGATCGTACTGTCGAAGTACCTGATCAGATAAAAACTAAAATAGACAAAGAATTCGAACATTTAAAGGAGCGATTAAAGATTGAAGAGGAAAACTCTAAAGAAATTCACAATTTTATTCAAGAATTGACTGTAGATATAAAACAGGAGAATTGGAGAAATGGTTTGATTCTATTGAGAAAAATTTTTAAGAAAATTAGTCCATTGAATATACATGAATTATTTCGACTTATTAAGAAAGTGAACAGCACAGTATATACAATAAAGAAGAAAGATATTATTTTTTTTCTTGGATTAACTGGTTCAGGTAAATCAACTACAATTCATTTTCTTGCTGGCTCAAAAATGATTGAAATCAAAGTCAGCGATTTATATCATATTGCACCGGTCGAGATAAACAATCCAGATCTAAAATATATAACAACTTCACCATTTGCTAAATCCGAAACTCGACATATTACATCAGTTGAAGTGAAATTGAAAAACACAAATGGATTGACCAAAGAAAGTATTATCCTATGTGATAGTCCAGGATTCGAAGATACTAGTGGACCCGAAGTAGATATCGCTAATGGATTAGGTATTGTTAATGTTATAAAAGTATGTACAAGTGTTAAACCAGTTGTAGTAATTAGTTATAAAAGTATAGGAGATAGATTGCAAGGTCTAAAGAATCTAATTCATGTCCTATCGGCATTGATTCCAGGTATTCGAGATCAAATTGAAGCTTTCTCTTATATATTTACAAAATTTCCTGAAAAAGAAAAGGATACGATTCATGCATTCATCAAGGAGATTCATAGAAAATTAAAAGACGATGAAACATCAGATAAAAGTTTTATGTTTTTATTAGAAGATATTCTCCAAAAAACACGACAAGGTGCACGAGTCTTAGATCCGATCAATGATAAACATGAAACGATTCTTGACGAACTCATAAAATCTATTGCTATTGATCATCCGGAGAACGTTTTCCAATTTTCAATTACAGGAAAGTCAAAAACTACTTTACAAGAGCAACTAACCAAACATCAATTGAATATTAGATCTGCAACTGAGCGTTCAGAGTATGAGTTAGTAAAGTATAGACTTGATCAATTAAAATGTTTGAATGATCTGCTAGGTCAACATTATATTGAACAAGTTTACAATGATTGTCTTCGACATATAAGTAGATATCTGTCTGAAGAGTATGAAAGAGGTATTTCAGCTATGAAACGTTGTTTAATGAGTCAGACAAGCTTGAATGATGAGGATATTCGACAGTATCAAGTATGTATTGATCATGCTAAGTTAGCCAAAGAAGTACAAGAAAATCATTTAGGAATAGAAGTAATTAGTAGTACAGCATTTATTGAAGATCTTAACAGACAAGTGGATTTGATGCTTTTAGATGTAAGAGAAAAAGATGTCGATGATATCTCAATAAGAATGAGTCTCGAGAAAATAAAGACTATTTTGAATGCTTTTCCAGATCTGGATTCGAAGAAACTTGATAATATTTGTCAAGTTCTACTTGAAAAACTTGATTCTCTTGTTGTTTCATTCAAAAAATCAATTTCATCAAATAAATTTGATGAGGCTGCTAGTCATATCACAAAATTATATAGAGCAATAGATGTTTTGCAAGATCATTTAGATCGAGAAGAAATAAAAGCTAAATATGTACAACTTAAAGAATATTTTCTGCATCATGTCAACGATTGTTTGGGCAAACTAAAGTATATTTTTACTCAAACGAAGTTAGATAAAAATGATATAGATATTATAAATAGATGTGTATGTATGTTAGAAAATGCTAAGAACACATTCGATCTTCAATCACACATCTTTGAAGAAGAAATTAATAAACTTTATGAAAATCTTCTATCAAATATCATGATTTACTTTGAAGAAATAATAAAAAGGATAAATGTTGAACTTGAAAATGAAAATAGTTTTCATGTACTAGAACAACTTCTCATCGAATTAGATTTGATCAGACAAATTTCTACGATTAAGTTGAAAACAATGGAATCCTATTATATTATTTTGGAAAAAGTAATTAGATATATATATGAAGCTAGACGTGATGTTGAAGATTTATTAAAATCTTTATTTCGACGAGAAGAAAATATTAATTATAATAAACTTAGAAAATGTTTATTAAATTTAAAAAGTGTTGAATGGATAGAAAAATATCGAAATGGAATATATTCAGATGTAATACATAATGTTGAAGAACAAATTATTGAACATGTAAAACAAATGAAAGATTCTGCTATGGAAATAAATATAGATCTTGACAATTTTGATAAAATTAAGCATGTATATCAAATAATATTACAAATTAATACAATCAAATGTCTTGAAAAATTTATTCCTGATGTAGTTAAAGACATAGATGAAGTTAATAATTGGTTTAAAGAGATTACAAATAATGTATTTATTATTATTAAAGAGACGTTTAATGTAGAAAAATGGAAAGAACAAAAGTATGAGTTTGTAGACTTTCATAAAGTTGAAAAAGGCTTTCATTATTTAGATACTTGTAAAAATATTCGTTCGTTATTTACAAGTAATTGTATATTTGTTCTTAATGATTTAGAAGAATTTATAAGACACTATAGTACTTATATTCAACAAGAAATGGAAAGTTCTTTTGAAACTATCAAACATAGTCAAAACGAAGATAAGAAAGAAATATATGAAAAAGTTCGAATATTATCAAATCGTTTACGAGAATTATTTGAAATTAAAACAAAATATTCTCGTGTTTGGTCTTGTTTTTCAAATAAAAATATGATTAAATACTGGCAAAATGAGTTATCATACTATTTAACAGATTTATCAGATGAAATGGAAAAAATAACGATCACAAAACGAATCAACACGTTGAAAGATAAGTTAATGATAGTAAAAGCGTTAAGTACTTTAGATAGATTTCGAGAAGATGAAAAATTTATTAATATCTATCATAAATATCAAAATATATTTTTCATTCAAATCAACGATGCTCAAAAACAAGTACTTGATGCTATTACAAATAACGATTATGAACGAGTTGCTTTCGAAATTAAAGCATTACAATTATCTAATGAAATTGGAGAATATTTTTACCAACAAGCTAAACAAATACTAAATAGTAGATTACACAATTTGATGGAAGACACCAAAACTCACGTAATTATACTTGGAAATAATCTAGAAATAAAAGAAATAAAATTTATAGTAGACAATTTAAGACGAATTCAAAGAGCACAACAATTTGTTTCAGAACATCTTAATGAATTGACTGAATTAGATGCATATGTCATAGAAATTAAAATTTTGATCGAAGAACGAATAATTCGTTTCTTAGAAGGCGTTCAAGTTCTTATTAGTATTCACTATTTCTGTAAAGTAGATCAGAAATTAGATTTAATAATATTAGTACGTAGTTTATTAGGAAATTATTGCACAGAAAAAGTTTTGAATCGTATCGAAGAAGTCAAACATTATCAAGATATTGTTCTAACCAAAGATATCATTGAAAAATATTCAAACATGGATATAACAGGATATAATTTGGATCCACCCACAAATTTATTTGCAGAAGTCGGAGAAGTCAGTAATACTAATCCATTATACTATGGAGCATTGAATAAAATCAAAGAAATCATTGTGAAGAAATTCAGAGAAGAATTAAAACAAGCGACATTGGTACAGCCTCCAAATCTAGAAAATAATCATATCAGAAGATTTGAATTAGCAGTTAAGTATCTACCAGAAACGATTAGGATTGCTCTTGAAATAGATTTAAAACACTGTAAAGATGATATTAATCAATTGATTCAAAATAATAAAAATAAATTGAAAACTACAGTTCACCTTAATTGACATTCCTCTCTTTGTATTACTTACTTTAGACAACTATAGCAGTTTTCTTGCTTTCCAATAACAAAACCATTCAGAATTTCTATTAATTATATATCAACACTTTATTTAATTAGTCAGATAGACAGATTTATGAAAATGAACTTTGCAATATTCAAACAATGAGTGCACTTATATCTATCAATATGTACAAGGACAACACGACAAGATAAAAATATCAATATTCTCTTACTGAAAACAGTAGTGAAATAAAATAAGATTTGTTTTTTTTTCTAGTATACTTTTATGAGAGTATCAAGATACACAGGCATTTGATAAAAAAAAAATTTTTTTTTTGATGTTTTTTACTCATTCAGCATAGCATAGTCATGACTTCAACGGATCATTGAAATTTTTCATGCTATGTGCCAGAAAATAGAGAATTAAAAGCTGAATAAAATAAGCTACTTACATATAGGATGATTTCAAGCGGTTAAAGTTTTACAAAGCCAACATAAGACAGAAACATCTCTTTTTTCAGTCTAAAAAGTTCCGCGTACAATAATGCATTTCAGCCATGATTCAGAATCATTATGCAACTTTTTATTCTCTATAAAATATTATGAAGATGATTAAGTTAAACTTATAACAAATAAAATGCATTTTTTTCGAAGAAAGTCAATTAGAACAGTGTTTAAAAGATAATGCCAATCGAACAGGAGTATGTTGTGCAATATAAGATATATATTCTTCATTGGACTCATACATACTGATAGATTTAGTGACTAAAGAAATTCTAAGAAAGGTCGAAAGAGATTTAAAACGAAACGAAATTGTTGACTAATAGTTTGAAAGTATGAGATCGAGCTAAATCATACTACTAAATAGTTCTGTTTTGTTGTGTACTTTCACTACTTATTCCTACTATGCATCAGTTTTTTCCATAAGAACCTTGGACTATGTGTATTACTTAATTGTATTTTGTCGTTGTCAAGTACATCGGTCCTTTTTTTTTTCGATTATAATCATGAATAAACGATCTTTGTAAAAAGAATTATCTCACGATACTTTCAAGTAAAATTTATTTAAAGCTATTCAAGGTTTTCCTTAACAAATCTATAACTTTTTATGAATTGTTATGGATGATGTCGACGCTAAGGAAAATGCTCACTACTTATCCTATATTTATGAAAAGTAATAAGTATTATTTATTCGACTAGTGCTTCTACACTATGTTCATTATTGTAGCAAATCAAATTTAGTTTCTCCTTGTTTCTTACACATACACTCACAGTGTTTGTTCGATCACGGAGCAAACGTGTGACTATATAGGTGTAGACATGCTTTCTATTTCGGTATCACACCAAAACATTTTTCGATTTAGGATTTCGCCTATCACTATTATGCTAATGAGGGTGTGGGTGTGGGTATGAGTGTTGATGCAGATATGGTATCGGTGTCAGTGTGGGTGTTCTTCGTGTAGTCCGCATCCACACTCACACCCACAGATCCGACGCCACACCCACATTCACACTCAAATCCATACCCACGCCCACGCCCACATCCACACCCTCAAGGACGACTAACATATCATGCATTCTCCGAGTGCTATTAAATTATCGAAACATTTTGAGCATCAAGAGGACGTCTACAATGCACCTCGATATAGTGGAGCTATTTGAAACCAAGTGGGGATTATTGTTATTTTATTCTTTTCTTATCGAGGCTAGATATAAATGTTAAACGATAGAAAGAAGTGTATGTAACTATAAATTTACTTGTTCTTTCACTTTCTATGACTTTCGATAGTTTAATATCATTCAGACAGCAATTGATGTCTTAGTCGTACTGCGACAACTCAATGGTTAGAAGACTGGTCGGCATAGCCAGTAACCATATCATGGGTTTCGTTCCCAAACGAAGCATATCATTTATTTTGCTGAATGGTATTCAATGATCGAAAGTCAAAGGAAATGAAAGAATAAGTCATGCTATAGTCACATATACGTCTTTCTATCCTTTAACACTTATTTTGGGTGTGGGCGTGGGTATGGATTTGAGGGTGGGTGTGAGTGTGGATGTGGATGTGGATTACAAGACGAACACCCACACTCACACCGATACCCATATCCACACCAACACCCACACCCACACCCATATCCACACCCTTCTTCATAGATTCATTGATGGATGTCCTTTGAAAATACGATGTCAATAAAGCTGCACAAAATTCTTCTTCACCTATACTATCACAAGAGTAATGGCAATATAACTTTACACATATGAATCTAAGCAATATCCTATTTAAGAATTTCTATTCAGCAGTAGATATTGACTTGAAACGTTCTTTTTTTCAATACAATTTGCGAGTGTGGGTGTGGGTGTATTGTGAAAAGAAGTCTCACACTCACACCCACACCCCAGCTTCAAAGAAGCTGCGCTAACAAGCTTTTTCACGGTTATTCTATTATTCTCTAGCCTTTGGAATGGCATTATAGATATCGATGCAGACTACATCTTTATCAATGCACTACGTCGGAGTGTATATTTCAGAAAGAATCCATGTACATTAGCCATTGTTATAAAATAAAACCATCTAATTTGATGTTCCTTTTACTATTAAAAACACTAAGTACCATTTTGTCATGCAAAGTGTCTTATTAAATAGTATCCAATTCTTTTTAAAAGAGGTCTTATCATGTAATAAAGTTGGTCCAGCATTAGCTAATATACCGGTTATAGTAGAAAGTCCAATATATGGAACAAAAGTGCAAAGACTTTTCAATTTTGCTGCATCAGGAATGATGATATCAATAATTTTTTTGCAATTGGTTTCACAACATAATATTTGTTGTTAAAAAAAAGATGATCTTTCAGTACGAAGTTGCATTGATGGTGTTACAATTGTTGAAGGTATGATCACTCATATAATTGTTAAATTTTTTATACAATTTATTCAAATTATCTTAATGGTTGTTTTTGGTGATGTGATTTCTCAAGTTTGTTCTATTTGCAAAAAAACAGAAAAATTCTTTGGCTTTTCGTTTTCAGGTAATAATTGAAGAGCCGGTTATATTATCCATGGAATTAATTTTTATTCACGGCAATTGTGAAATTAGTTATGGCAAGAGAAAAGAAAAGAATATCGAACAAAAAATGTGTTTTTTGTGAAGATTTATTAATATCTGCAATGTGTGAACAAGATGTTGAAGTGATAGAAGAGTCACTTCGAGCATTCTTCCAATATTACTTAATTCAGATCAGTTACTTTATAAAGATGTTCTTCGTTGACTTATTATTCTTTCTTTAGGTGTAAAATTGTCAGAAGAAAGAATGCCATTACTTATGCATTTCTATGTAATTTTATCCAATGAACACAATATTGTTGAAGCAATGCGATATATGTTTCTCGAGATGTTTTAGAATTTATATAAATATATATGTATTTATTATATCTTTAATTTAATTTTATCAATATTAGTTTATTTTAAAGTGTAGTTTGGATTTGTCATGTCCGGTGCGTGGAGTTGTGGGTGTTTTACTTTAGTTACTATACTCATTGCTCTTCGAAAATAAATTAGTTCTAGTGCTGTACGATTTTTTTCTCTCTCTTTCTCTCTCAGTGTATTGTCGAATTTAATTGAAAGCAAATTTTGCTGTTTTACAATAAATTATTTTAACATTAAAAGTATGTCTAATAAACCAAATAATAATATGAATTAACTTTAAAAATTCTTTTCAGAAGATTCGATAATTTTCTTTCGGAATAACAACCACTCTAGTTGATAAGACTATTTTATGTTAAAAATTAAGATTGATGTAATAACGAATATTTGCTTGAAAAAGAATGTGTAATAATAATTGTAAAGGAAAAATGTTTAACAAATGCATAATTAGATGACAAAGAATGCCCTCTATTGGTCATCATGCATATTCGTTTGAACAACGACCAGCAGACCATCACAATCAATAGAAAAAATAAAATAAAATAGTTTTCCTGATTAATTTTTCTCAAATGATTATTTTCGAACTATAGCTCAAATCACTGTTTTAGATCAATATAAAAGCAAAAAGAAAAATAATGTTATCGAATGAAGAAGAAAAAGACCATCAAATACAACAGATGAATGATGCGATTAAAGCATTGGGTATTGATCCATCATCTCTTGATCCACAGCAGAAAAAAACAAAAAAATACAAAAAAACGTTGATGAAGAACAACATTCATTTGAGGTGCACAATATTCATAAAGGTCCAGCAAGTTTGTATTTCTCTTAAAATAACTTGAAATTCTTTTCACTATTTTTCAGAGTAATAGTGCAACAACAACTTTACCATTGCCATTATCATTTAATAGTGATTCATGTGATCTTGCAGAAGATTCTCCAATTTGGTTAAATGAACAATATATTAAAGATCATCATCTTGAAGAAGAAGTTTTAGAAGATGATATCAATATGACGATGGAACAACGTGATAATTCAACTCTACAAAGTGAAAAAAAAACGAATGATGATGGTTTACTACAAACAGATTTAAGTAAATTTCTCAAATTGTCTTACGATTAATTTTTCCACACTAATAAAAAATTGTTGATTTGAATAAGAAATCTTTCAAATAGTAGTGTATATATTAGCTGAAAGTGTATATTTCAAAATATCTCATTATTAAGCGATCTTGAAATATTAAAGAAATGATTAATTTTTTTCTACTAATTGAATATGTATATATATGTGAATTTATTCACAGACATAGTTTTCGTTTGGTTTTGCTAAGAGGGAAAGAATTTAAGGAAGAAGGTCTCCCAAGGTTAGAGAGAAATGGTTTTTGTATTTTTTTTATAGTAAAATATATTTTCAGCTGGAACCTATGTTGATGATCTCATTATCAGTCTAATCAATATTTTCTTCGCTATTTTTCGTCTTAATAAATTAGTCGAAACAAATTCAGATCAATGAAAAAAAATTTATATTTTTCTGTACAAAAATGGTTCACATCAATAATTTTGAAAGTAATGTTCTTTCAAAAAATTATAGTGTTTTGCCTATTTTTCATCATCACTACTATTATCATTTTTGTGTATGTATAATGCGTTCCAAAATGTTTGCGACATAGGTTGTTTTCCAAATATCTTTGCACTGACAAAAGATAAAATTTTAATTTTTTTTTCAAAAGATACTTTGTAAAAAGTTCTACAAAAACTATAAGAAGAAATTTCTAGTGACTGCTTCTGATGATTTCTTCTATACTTACAATAAAAAGCATACATGATAGCGCTACTTTCTACAATATTTAATATAGTAAAAATGTTTCAAACACTTTTGTTTTGCGATAGGCATTAGTTTATACAACTTTTGTAGAGCTTTTGACAGCGGTCTTTTGAAAACAATCAAGGCGATATCATTTTCTGAAGCTGAGATACATGCAAAATAAAAGTCTTCCAAACATATTAACCTATTAAATTGTTTGGAAATAGCACTATGATGTATTTTTTTATTTTGTGTATGGAGGAAGTATCAGAATAAGTCAATTGGGATTTCTTACAGAATGTAGGTGTGGTTTTCTTTGAAACTGATTTATTTTCTCTTTCAAAATGATCCATTTTCTCCTTAAGTCTAAACTATTTTTTCTCTGAAAATGATCGATTTTCTCTTTGAAACTGAGCTATTTTCTTCTTGGAAAGTGATTCAATTTCTCCAACTATTAAGTAGAAACTGCTAACTGCTCGTAGCGAAAATTTTCAGGAAAAAGCTATAACGCAAGAAAAAAATTAGACGGAAGAAATCACCCACCTTCTCCTTCATAATCGTACAGCTTGTTCATAGACATGTACTCATTTCTTTGTCTCTCATTTTTTCTAGTATTAGAAAAAATTACTAATGTATTGAACAAATTTGAAGAAAAAATTCAACATAAGATTGATTATTTGGAATCGAAATTTGATCGAAGATTCGACCAATTATCTCAAAAGGTTGACAATCTTTACGAGCGTGGTACTGCATCTTCCATATTGTTCCACCTCAACACCCATCATTATCTTGATGCACCATTATCACCAACGAGCCAATTATTTGATTCTCATTTTTCAAAGAAGACAAGATTATTATTTGGATTTTTTGCTCAAGAAATGCATAAACGGTATTCTCATTTGTGGACAAATAATTATAAGCAAATGGGTGTATCTCTACGACCGGAACAAATAGAAGTTGATCTACTTGGATTTGCTTATGAAAAAACTAATCAAAAGAAACCGATTTTCAATTCACCGAATATGGAATCATTACAAGCAAATTCGTCTTATTCATTTATAAAACCATTTAAAGCTAATACAATAATTATTGGTGAAGTAACAACATCAATTATTGATTTCAATCATCAAGATTTGGTTCATCTTGAACAGGTATGGTTTCTTCTTCTTCTCTCCTTATTATTATTGGTTTTTTTCTTTTGTTTATTGTAGTCTAATTCAAAATTATTTAATGTAAATTTACCGACTTATATACTTTGCCAAAAATTAATGCAACTTGAGCGAACACTTAATTTTATTCTAATTTATTTTAATGGTGCAAAATTAGAAAATCTACTTGTTGCATTAGTCGGCAGATTTGATCATCGACGTTCTTCTCAACAAATATACAAGCTATTATTTCAATCAACATTTTCAAACAAAATACCACTCTTGAATCAATTAAGTCAACTTGAACATGAACAAAAAAGCAAACAGTTATATTTTATTTCATAAACTATGATGTTCGATTTGATTTTTTTTCTTGATGTGTTAATTTTTCTCTCGCTCTCTATCTCATTTGATTTCTCAGGTTTTTTCACTTGTATCTTTCTATGGTTAATTTTTTTTTCATTAAATTCATTTGTAGAAACTATGAAATCTTTCTTGTTAGTTTATATCAAATGGATTCATATATATATGCTAATAAATCGAATGTAATGCTCTTCGCCGAAAAGAAGATTGTCAAAAACTCACATCGCCGACTCGACGTGAAAATTCACCGTAGATTTCCGCATCGAGTCGGCGATTTGAGTTTTCGACAATCTTGTTTTCGGCGAAGAGCATACTTACCAGTTGGCTCAACTCCAACAATAAAAAAAATTAAAATATAACACATCATCTTACTTACCTGTATTTCTTTTTCATTGTTATTGTCACTTTAGTTTCTCTTTTCATTTACTTCTGTTATTTCTTGTCCATTCATGAAATAAAACTCATCCTATTGAAAACAAGTCACACCCACCTCCTGGTGGTGTTTCCTGGGTAATGCTAACGAGCCTCTGCAACCGGTAACGTTTTCGAGAATCATATGCACCGACTGTATGGTGAACCAGATGGGTGGATGATAGGTTAATGGTAGAACATCCAACCGGTTATTGGAAGATGAGGGTTCGATTCCTGTCCTGCTTATGTGAACCTTTTTGTCTAATTTTTCGTGTTAGGTAAAGCATATCAAATGTGGATATTCGGAATTGTTAATACACATAGATTTACGTGGATAAGCGTTTGGATATCAGATAATCCTCTTTAGGATTCTTCTATGCTTTCTCTTTCGACTCAATTATTAATTTCAAACTTACCCTCACCCTCGAGCTAACATAGAATAAGAAGGTCAAAGAGTGCATTTATTGAGAGAAGAATGGACAAGAGAATGAATCTGTTAGAGCTACTCTCTATTAAGACCGAATCGTGCCGGATGTGTTAACAGTATATTTTGCAACAGCCATGCGTTCAGCTTCAAGTCTCAAATAGGGTCCTTTGTACATGATCAGTGCCAAACCACCAATGACAAATATACAAATGATAAATATGGAAGCAGGTGTGAATATGACACCGGGCTTATATACAAGAGCGAGTTTTATAAGATAGCCAAGAAGGAAAGTAAAACCACCACCGAGCACATTACCAACACACAGAAGTAGCCCAGTAGACCATTCAGCACGCACTGGATAAGTACATTCCACTGCACACTCAAATGAGATTGGTAAAAGTGGCATCAGGAAGAAGCCCAAGAGAGTAATTGAAACTCCCAGTGGATAAAGCATATTTGGTCGAAGAATGACAATGAAATAAAAGACCGATGCACAGGCACCTACTACTAATACCTTGAGTAACAATCTATAGGCGTGTGTGCGACCCATAATTATACCCACTACATAGGAACTAATGAGACCTGCTGTAATCAGCGTGGCACCGAACACACCGGCATTTTCGCTCGAATATCCACTTGGTTGGATGAGTTGATAGGCAAGTGTGGTTATTGAAAGAAAAGCAGCGAAACCGAAAGAGAAACCGAATAACAAAATAAGATAGTGGCTATTGATGAGCAGACGGCCTAGATCTTGTTTGACATTAATCGATTGATGATGTTCCTCGGAAGGCGATGGTGGCGATGGAGGCTCCGATCGAAATATGGCTATAACTAAGAGCGTTGTCAATGTGGTGAAAACAGCTTCAATTGTTAAGAGAATGAAAAATGAATGAGATGATACGCCATCGGTAACGATAAGCGATGGTAGAAGAGCACCGATGGCTCCACCAAGTGGCATGGCCATTGAACCAATGGCTGTGGCAATATCACGTTGTTGTGGAGCGAACCAACGAGCGGCAAATAGTGCGACCAAATTCAAAAACAAAGGTGCCGTAATAGCTGGGAAAAATTGACCGAGCATGAGAATCGGATAGCTGCGAGTGGGCCAAATGAGAGCAAATAGACGAATCCATACACCCAAGTTTAGTAAACTTCCAATAATCATCCCACTTCGCATTGAGAATCTGCGATAGGCCCATATTGACAGAACTGTGCCAGGCACGTAAAGAAAGAGAAAGACAATGGCCAGAGTATTGACTTCTGTCGATGTTATCTTGAAAAAGGTAGCTGTCTCCGCTTCTATCGGAACAAATGTCACACTAGGCAAAGTATTCGCAAATATTGCAAGAAAATAGACAAATAGTTGAACCCATCGGATGCGATACACACGATATACTACAGTTACCTCAGTTCCATCCATAATTTTATGTGTCTGATGTTGTTCTTCACTTCTATTTAGCTGTCCTCTATCTTTAGCTAGTAAATGCAGTTGGTGTGTGATGTGTAGCAGATAGAAATAGCGCACGTGTATAATCTATATCAATGACGTTATCTTTTTCGTGCACCTCTTCTTTCTCTTTTCTTTATTTATTTTTAATGATGTTTTTCTTCATATTTTTTTTCTCTCTCTCTCACTGAAAACCACTATAAATGTTGTTAACCCAGCTAGCGAGATATCATCGTGCTACTCGTACAAGAACTGGTGATTAATTATATTTTTCTTCTAAAGTTGTGGGTATGATATATCTGTTTCTTTCTTCACTTACCATCAATCGAAATTCAAATCACTTAATTGGATTCCCTGTATATTCTTGCTTCCAAAAAATACCCACTGAACGGTAGGGTGTGGGTGTGGGTGTGGGGTGTGGGTGGGTGTGGGGTGTGGGGTGTGGGGTGTGGGGTGTGGGTGTAGTGTGGGTGTGGGGTGTGGGTGTAGTGTGGGTGTGGGTGGAGGTGGGAGTGTGGGTGCGGGTGTGGGTGTCGCACTTTTCTTACACCCACACCCACATCCACCTACACCCTTGAAGTACAAAGATGGTGGAAAAGTCAACGGGACAAACATATCACACTTGATGCAAAGACCGTCCAAAACTGTCATTAGAAGTTAATGACAACAGGTTCTGTATGAGATATCAAACATTCGGGAAGACGCTCAATCTCTTGTTCACCGGAAGCCGTTAATGTTGTTCAAGAAATACACATCCTCGCCCCTCGAGCAACGTACCAATTCGGTTACAGACTTATATCGACAACGAAGAAACCTATGTAGAGATTTGAGACATTATGTTTCAAAATTAGATACACTTTAAAACAGTAAAAAAAAAGTGATAGTATCGGTTTTCGTATAAGAGGAATAAACTACTCAAAAGAATAAGTCGTTTTCACATATATCATCGACCAAGTTTATACTTAATCTTAGACAGTCAAACGACAAATCAATTTATTTCACCTAGAATAAAATGCCATGGTTCATGCTTTAAAATGGTGAAAAAATCAGGAAGATGTATTTTGTTATTTGAGAGTAATAAAGAATTTAAACTAGGGAGTTACTTTTAAATCACCCTGTAGAAACATTGTTGACAATAATTCAGTATTTTTTGAAATAGATGACAAGCTGCAAAGAAGCACAATTTTGGCTTTGACGCGCTCAGTCTATGTCTATCTCTTCTATATTCAGTCCTTCGTCGTTTAATTGCCTAATGGGACGAGTTAACTGTTCTTCCTGTTTATCATCGGCAACGTCTTTATTCCATTCATACACAGGAATACAATTCGGGGCAGTTGGACATGAATGACAGGTTCCACCATATTCATGAGGCAATTGATCAGAATCAATATGTTGTAATAATGCTGTTGATGTTTCGGGACCCTTTTTAATGACATGAATTTTTGTTTTGGTTACAGGATCAAGCCAATATTTCGCTAAATCCCAAAGAATGGGAAAAATCATTGGTGGATTTATAAGAAACATTTGTCCTAGACGTTCGGGATAATAGTTGTCGTCAATGTGAACGGATTGTTTAAATACATGAAGAAATTTTGTTAACTCTAGTTTACAGGCATGTAAATCATAAATCGTAGCAAAATTTTCCACATGTTTTTCTAGTTGTCGACTACGTTCTCTTGCTCGCTGACAACAGAATTCAAGCCAATAGATATGACATTGGATTAATTCCTCTGATGTAAATCGATTGAATAACTTATCCACATGTACTAGACCGAATTTTTCGATAAACAATGGTTGACCAGCTTTCGTATAGCCATGATGAGCGCTCGGAGCCATTTTTCGAATGATATGCATTCGAAGTATCATGGGTTGATCTTCAAGAATCAAATCAACATGATTTTCTATTCGCCATTGTATCATTTCTCGAATAGATTTTATGGTATGAGTTACATTCCATTTTCTAGCACGAAGAAATCTATGCAATTCATAACACCATTCATTCTCCTCTTCTTCCGTATTCACCTTATTCTTCAGCTGTAAATTAAGTTTATATTGAAGATAAGATGTATGATTCGGTTTTAATTCATTGTAAACAGTGTGAAATTTGTTTTGATGTTCCGCATCTAATGCATTAATATCAAATAATGGACTAGTGGTGGTCATCGTTTTATACAATAATCATAAGATTTCTTAAATTAACAATCATTAAGATAGATAAGCTTTGCAATAGAAAACTACTGCGGCAATGACTGGTCGACGCGCACAGATACTAGAGTTGCTCATGCCACTATCATATGAAGTCATATATTCAAAAAATTGCTTGTGAAACTTGCAAACATCAGAGATCAATATGAGCCATTTTTCAGAAGCCCAACTCAATTCCTCTCTCGCCATATTTTATCTGACCCAGTCGGGATTATACCAGAGAGGTTATCAACAGGCACACAGCTTTTTAATTAGTCAAATATGATAGCTGATTATAATCAGACTGATTAGAGTATCGGTCATCACCTTCTGACTTATGGCTCCAGAGACTGTAGAATAACTGATGTCATAGGAATTCATACCGATTCTTAAAATTCTTCGGGAGAAGGAGTAGCATTGATGGCAATCTTTCTCCCTAAGTTTGTTTAACGCTTTGAAGACCGTGTGACATATGTTGTCCTACTTATTTTTCAGTAAAGAAAATGTTTGCTTTACATTAAACTGTTATTATTTGTAAAGTAATAGGTCGTCTTATCTGTCATCAGATGCATTTTTTTCTATCTTTCTTTCTGCTACCATACACTGATGTCATGTTCTCTCCCTCTCTTGTCTTGATCTATTATCATGAAGTTTTTATGCAACCATTTTGGGCCAAATGCAGTAAATTGATTGAAAAACATTCGGTCCTCAAAGGATTAATTTTAGATAGTTTGCGGCTTTCCAGCGACCGTAGGTTCACTGCCAACGCATGTAGGTATGAGGCGAAACCTGTTGTCCAGTCTCAAAAATCACATCTTTTCAATGTTAAAAATCTATGCAATTCAGTGTTCTGTTGTCGAACTCCCGCGCATACTAATCATCAAAAGGAAATGAAATGCGAAAAAAACACAAGCAACTAATGTACATAACTTCAAAAAAGAACTTTAAACTTCACAAGTTTTCCATTGGCTGATCCAAATCGAGCTCTGATCTAACCCATGTCGGTCGCTGATGACTAGTCTGAGGAGCTATGGTCTCCTCGTAAGAAGAGACGCTGGTTTGTTTAGACCCCCATCTTTCTCTCACCATCTAATAGCACGTAGAAGACGAAACAGAATAGTGTTTACTTCACCTGTGCACACTCTCTGCTGTGACTAACAGCTACAAAGATAGTTGCTCGTTCGTTGGAACAGTAAGAAACTTCTATTTGCACATATCACTCCTATGTGGCAAATAAAAAAAAGGGACAGATATAACCTTAAAGTCACATCAATGCACTGTTATCGCTGCAACAACAAATAATATTTCAGATGTATAACTTTTAAATGTTGACAATGGCCAAAGCATGTCTATTACATGAATATAGCCTTGTAGCGCCTCGAAATATCTTCAATATTTCACTGATAATGGATAAGAGACGCTTGTGAATTGCTGGCAGCTTCGATGATCTCATCCAATCTAGTCGTTGTTAGGTCACCTGCAACATAATAACACAAAAATTAGGTTTCAAATTATAGACTGCTAAAAAATCAGCATTATGGCTCCAGTTTGTCGATGAAGTTGTAGTTCCAATTTGAGCCTTTTGTTATAATCAAAATATTCTATCTATGTTGGTATCAATGGAAAGCTTATAATTGAACACTTCATTCGTGATAATATCGGTCTTACTATGCGTGTTGATGTTGAGAAAAATATTTTGCAAACGAAGGTCATTTATCTCTTGTTTTAATTGATTTTTTTGCAAGCATGAATAGTAATATCACTGAAATAATGCTTATAGACTTATCGTCTACGTAGCTTTTGACGAGAAAAAGTATCCAAATATTTGTGCGATATTGCAAAATGATATATTAAACTTGCCCAGGTCAATAATTCCGACGGGAATCCGCTTGGTACGGTGAATTTTGCTGTAGGATCTGCTCTATTTTCCGTAGGACTCGATCGACAAATACTAGTATCATGATTGTACATAGTCATGACTGCATATGAAGAAAAATTGAGACTGTATACGACCTTCATGCGCCAAGACAATAAGCAAACGTTTTTGCCTTCATCAATCATCGGATTTCTTTGTTTACGACATGGAGATGCACGATCACAATACTGAGTCTTGTAAACTGCTATATCTCCCGGAATATAGTACATGTTTAACCTA